TAAATATATTCATGGAAGTATATGACAGGAACTGTCCTCGTAAGCAGTATAAAAACAAGAGGAATTACAGTGGGAAACTGTGGATGAGTAAGGGATTACAGAATGCATGTAAAAAGAAGAATGTGTTATATAAAGAATTTATAAAGGATAGATCCAAGAAGGCGGAAGAAAAATATAAGTTATATAAGAACAAATTAACTACATTATTGAGGATATGTAAGAAACAATATTATTCTAAGGTATTAGAGGATAATAAAAATAATATGAAAGGTACCTGGAAGATATTAAATAAATTGATTAGAAACAGTACCAGCAGGAGTAATTACTTTTGACTTCTTTTGAGATCTTTTGACAGCACAGTCAGTGTTCCATAACTGAAGTTAAAGTCTTTGGCAATGCTTCCTTTTGATATGTTCTAATTGGTTAGAAATTAAACTTATTTCTTGTTTTCCAAGATTTTTCTACAGCATTTACTGCTCATTTCATTAATAATAATAATAATAATAATAAATCACTGGGCTTTCCTACAGGGGAGAGGTGTTTTTTATCAGTGTTTCAACTCAAGCCATGATTTTCCTATTTTCCTTTCCCTAACCATGTATGTGTTGCTCCTCAGCCTCACCTAATATACACTATTAGTTGAAGGTTTGGGGTCACCAGTTGTTTTTAATGTTTTTGACTTCTTTTGAGATCTTTTGACAGCACAGTCAGTGTTCCATAACTGAAGTTAAAGTCTTTGGCAATGCTTCCTTTTGATATGTTCTAATTGGTTAGAAATTAAACTTATTTCTTTTTTTCCAAGATTTTTCTACAGCATTTACTGCTCATTTCATTAATAATAATAATAATAATAATAAATCACTGGGCTTTCCTACAGGGGAGAGGTGTTTTTTATCAGTGTTTCAACTCAAGCCATGATTTTCCTATTTTCCTTTCCCTAACCATGTATGTGTTGCTCCTCAGCCTCACCTAATATACACTATTAGTTGAAGGTTTGGGGTCACCAGTTGTTTTTAATGTAATTCAACAGCTGAACACAGCTGGCTGGGATTGGCTCCAGCCCCCCGTGACACTGTTTGGAACTAAGCGGTATAGAAAATGGATGGATGGATGGATGAATTGCTTAAATGTCAAAACTAGAAAAATGGATATGACCCCAAACATTTGAACAGTTGTGTATATAAGAATGCTCAAAATAGAGAAATCATCAGTCATTTGTTTTGTTTTACACTACACATTACTTACGGTCAGAACTTTAACAGCAAACGCCACAGACTGTTATGAAAATCAATATAAAAAAAGAGAGCAGCAGTGCTGTTTCCCTGTCATTGAGGTGAGAAGTGAGAGGTGAATATTTTCAACTCAGTTTTGAATGTAATAAAATATATCTACACTGTAGTTCTGAGGGCTTCAGGATGAAGCCCTGGTCACAGGCTGAATGTAATTTGTAAGTTGCTCCCAGTGGCCAGGCCAGCGCCTTGCATGGTAGCTCCGCTTCCATCGATGTGTGAGTGCATGTGCAAATGGGTGGATGCAAAACACTTTGTCCTGGTAAGGCAGAAAAGTGCTATATAGTAAGTGCAGCCCATTTACCATTAATTTGTATTATTAAGTGTATGTGTGTGTGTGTAAATAAAGGAGGAAAATGCCACTTCTGTCTTTTGGCTCCTTCAAGCTAGTTTACGTTACAATAATTAGACTATAATCGCTACTTATTTTGGCTTAATTTTGACATTTTCAAAAGTGTAGGCCCAAGTCCAGTCATTTCTCATGGACCACAGTGCAATATAGATTTGAGGACAAGAAGTATACATACACACAAACACACACAAAAATAAATAATAAAACTAAAAAACATAACAAGCACCGCACAGTCTCAAGAGAAAGAGTGCAAATTTCATTTAAATGTTACTGTAAATAAATAACCTAACAAATAGTTTATAAAGTCTGTAGCCTACGATGCATTACAAGCTACACAGAGTTAAACTGATATGTGGCATTACTGTTGTTGTAGCAGATAAAGGCCCATTGGTTGTTGCAGAGCCTGGTAGAGGAGGTACCTCCTGCTGGATGACAGGGGGATGAAGAGACTATGACTGAGGTGGGTGGGGTCTTTCCTTACAGGTGCAGCACAGGTGTTTTATATGTATGGGAGAGCAGAGATTATCTAAAAATATCTAGATCATCTAGGATATCATGCAATATTTATGCAGTTATTATATCGAAATGTGTAGGATTTTTGTGGCGTACACATTTAAAGGTTGATTCTTGAATTGATACAGAAAATCCAAACATGTTATGTTTTAGAACATAAAACCATACATCAGATATTGGCCATTGTGATGATCTTTAGCACTGAATGCAATATAGAATATTTGCACTTCACGGTTCCCACGTAGCATATATTCTCTCTGCATTATATTGTGTTCTTGTTGTATTTTTATTTGCTTCCTTCACTTGCTGCTTTAAAGTGCCTTAAATTTGTGATTTTACTGCCTATTTAGATTTGTGTTATTGCTCACCTACTTTATATCACACTTTTATTGTGTGGCATTCATGTGGGAACGGCAAAGTAAGAATTTCACTGTACAGCGAAACTGTGCATATGACAAATAAACACTTTGACTTTGACTTTCTGGTAAGGAACTAAAGCTAGCAAGATATATGTAGTTGAGTAAAAAGAAGCTAAAGTAGTGGAACAAAAGTTTAAAATAACTCAAAAAGTAATAGATACAATGTACTTACTTAAAACTACCGTTAAGTGATATTTTGCCTGTGAGGTATAATCAGAGGAAGACCAGTTTCAGGAGAGGCCATAAGTGGAGCGGGTGCTACGTGAGTACAGTAGGTGGCAGTAATGCAACATCAAATATTGCTGCTGCAGCAGCAAAACTTCAGGGGAAGAAGAACAAGGAGACGGAGACGACGAAGAAGGAAGAAGAGCGTTTTTACACAAGGCCACGACCTGCCACAGAAAAGGGTTACGTAACTTCGAAAATCGTGATATCATCTCAGCTTTTTGTTATCTGTGGAGACGACTTTCTTCAGCTGCATATTTTTCGTGATATTTTGACTTTGGTACGTCGTTTAATCAATTTCACTCCATAACGTAAATGTTTGCTGAATAAGCTAGCTCGCTGCCTGGCCATATTGGCATTTCACGGTTAGCTTAGCACCCGCTTCCCCCCCAAGTAAACATTATTTAAGCTATTGTAAACGTTTTAGAGGTGATTAGATTGTGACTACACAAATTTACACGTTTGTTTATATGATTATTTGTATCGTGCATTGAGTCAAATGTAGCAGTAAATTCACAATGAAGCTCATTGAAATAAGCTAACGTCGTTGGAACGACGGAGACGTCTTTTTTCGGGGCGGCTAGTTAGCCTTAGCTTCGTGTTGAGTGTACCGCATGTGTATCCTCATTATTAACGTTAGATGTACAAAGGAATGTCTTTTTTTCACTCAGTTAAAATGGTCACCTTAAAAGTGGTACAATTAATCATTACTGTGCCTTCCAGTGTATCGCATTCTAGCTGATATTTATGATACTGCGGGAAGGAAATTAACTTGAACGCCTTGAAACGCATTGTCACCTTTGCTCTCTAACTTGCTTTTAGCTAACGTTAATGTAGAATAGTTGCAGTGATTAGAACACATTTGATAATCGTTATTGTTTAGATCACTTCAAGCAAAAATATGAAGGGTTCCTGTTACTTTGTTTTTATCAAATTATAATATAGCGTTAATTGGTTTTTACTATTAGTCCAAATATAACAGGCCAAATAAAGCAGAAGCCAACTTGGAAGCCATGAGAGATTTTTGAATTGATATTATTAACTGCTTTCTAACAATATATAGGCTAAATACTCTTTAATCAAAGAAGGTAGTTAGTTTTCCCCCAGTACATTACCTTAACGTGATTATTCACTCAGATAGTATTTTGTGTGCATGTAGAGGTAATTGTATTGTTTTCCTTCTGGCAGGATCATAATGGCTGATGATTTTGACGTTGAGGCTATGCTGGAGGCGCCATACAGAAAGGTGGGTAGCAGATTACAGAGACCAGGTCTATTTCACTGTTATGATTTACTCTAGAGACCTTTATTTTTGCTACTTTGACAAAGTTTACTTGAATGTTGTGTGGTGTGTGACTGAGTATTTAAAACGCAATACAGAATTATAAATAAATCCACATCTATCTCTCTTTATAGACTTCCCTAATGATATCTCACCTCTACTCCCATGAATTCATCTTTGATTCCACTGTGAACTGTGAAAAAAAGGAAGGTAGTTATTGCGCATATACTGATGTACTGTGGTTCACCTTAGGACTAAAAGAGATTTCAACCTAGAGCATCCAGGTCCCTATTCGGTTACAAAAAGGTGAATGCCAGTGGTTGATAAGCCCATCTGTATCTGTCCAGCAAAGGAGGCAGTATTCAGATTTACAGTCTGCATGCTGCCATTGTTTCTGGATGCGCAGGCGTTCACAGTAAGATATGATCCTTTGCTCTGGAATGGGGAAAAAAATACGCTACTGTGTTTGGCTTCAGCAAGAATGTATCACTCTGTCTTCTTTAAGTAACTCGATGTTTACCAAATCTGCGATGAGAAGCATCATGTTTAGGGTTGTTTTCTAAAATTGTGTTTGTATCAAACTATAACTGTTCGTGTCACAAGCTTTAAATGAAAAGATTGTAGTTGTAAAGCGTCATCGCACAAACACGTGAACATATAATTTTATAAATACAGGTGAATAGTTTGCTTTGCTCGTAAATATGAATACTGCCTCTTTGCCTTAGACGACTTGATTTTGCATGCTGCACAACACCACAGATAATGATATATTACTAGATTGATTGTAAAATAGATGTTTATCATTGTATTATAATGAGTGAGCTACTTTTCAGTTCTTAATTCCCTTTAAGTCAAAAGGTTATCTGTATTACTTCATAATGCAGACTAAAGATAATGGTAGTGTAACACGTGGCTGAATTAATGGAATTTTTTTATTTATTCATTTATTTTCTTGGGCGTCAATATTACTAAGAAGTGTGAATCCCTGTTTGCTTCAGGGCAAGATGTGTGACAGAGGTGGCATCGAGCTCTTACAGTCCAAGAACGAAAATGGGTGAAGATCACTGGACTGACACCAACAACACAGGATCTCTTTTAGTGGCTGTGGGCCATGCGTGGTCACATGATTAGGCACAAATAGTGGCATTGGTACGACTTATTAGAAGGGGGAATGGTGGAGATGACCTGACTTTTATCAAAGCTTCCTGAATACAGCTAATTTGTTGGACACTCTCCCTTAACTTTGCTTTGTTGCATTAAGTACTGAGCAGCCTTGTATAAAAAAAGAAAGGAGAAAAAAAACAGGAGTGGGATGGCAAGATATTGGGGTGGTGGAAGGACACTATCCAGACTTGACAGGAAGTTTGAAGTATTATTATTAATTGAATATATTCTGCATTTTCTCTTTTCCCACCCCTCCCCTTTACCTTGACGACTTGAAATGTTTCATCTACGTCCTCACGATGTTCTTCTATCAACCTTGCTTAGGATGAGATCAAGTCCTCTCATGCAAATGGACATGATGACCAGAACAAAAAGTAAGTGAATATTTAGGATATTGCTGCTCTGCAGTGTTGAAACACATGGAGTGTATGTTTAATTTAAGTCGTTTATTTTGCACCTCAGTAGCAGTGTTCTAACGTGTTTTTAGGAAGAGGAGGAGCCGAAGCAAGAGCCGGAGCCCAGGCTCTAAGAAGAGAAGAAGCAGAAGCAAAGAGAGAAAGAAGGGGAAGAAAAGGAGCCGGAGCCGAGAAAGAAAGCGCAGCCGCAGCAGGGAGCGTCATCGCAGCCACTCCCGGAGCAAGGAGCGGTCTGGGCGGTACAGAGCACGCAGGAGTAGTCCCATGTATGTGACTTTTTAAATTTGATGACAATACACTCAGGGACAACTTTATTAGGTACACCTCTTTAACCTGTAGAGTTGATTGACATTGTCAGAGATGTATTATTTTAAATCTGTTTATTATTAATTAGGGCTGCACACTAAATAATTTTGTGAGCATGATTTGGATCGCTGTGTGATCTCAGTTTCATGTAACAGTGATTCTGCCATGTTTGCATTAGCAGGGAGATGCCCTACATCAAACCAGGCACTTCCTTTTCCTCACTAAGCTGCATTAAGCAATAGCAGGAATGATTTGCAAACAAATCCAACATCTTTGACATTGTGAAAGATATTCAGTGCCACCCTACAACTCTTTTTCAAATGTTGCACTGCCTCCTGCCCTGTACACCTAGTGTTGAATAGCACCTGAGGCAGAACTAAATCACTTTGTGGTTATCAGGGTTATTAGTAGTGATTACTGGTTAACGAAAAAGTTTGTACATATAGGTGGCTGAAATAGTCAAGCGGGCACAGTACATTTTGGGTTTTATCTAGCTCGTCTGCCCCTGAGATCCAGAGCACATTATGATGCTGAAGTAGGAAATTACTAGATGATTAGTTGCTTATTAAATATATTGTGGAAGATGTTGGTATAAAGAATACATTTTGAATGTCCTCGTGTTGTCACATGTAGCACATCTAGTCCAATGTTACTCATGCCAGCATGTCCTAGTTATATTTAAAATGTTTATTTTTTTTGTTTATTCCAGCCGCAAACGTTCCAAAAGTCGGAGCCCCTTCAAAAAAGACAAGAGTCCCATCAGGTGAAATTATTCATATTACTGCTGTGGGTACATAATTTAGTTATCCCAAATCCAAAGGTGTCCTCCCAAATTACTTTAGAGTGGTTTATTTTTTGTCTTACATATCTTTATTCATTTATTTTTATCATAACGATTGAAAATATAATCCCTTCTGGCTTGTTTAACTGTTTCCAAAGGCATTTGTATTTGTTTTAAATGCTGGGTGTTTTTGTCATTTTAGGCAACCAATTGACAATCTAACACCAGAGGAAAGAGATGCTCGCACAGTCTTCTGCATGCAGCTCGCTGCAAGAATCAGAGCTCGGGACCTGGAGGACTTCTTCTCAGCTGTTGGAAAAGTTGGTTTATTTTTAAGTTGTGCATAATCCAGTAAGTCTGTGTGTAGAACTGAGCTCTTGAATCATCACTGTTTTTCTCTGCAGGTCAGAGATGTGAGAATGATCTCTGACAGAAACTCCAGGAGATCAAAGGGCATTGCATACATCGAGTTTGTGGAGGCTTCTTCTGTTCCACTGGCAATTGGATTGACTGGCCAGAGGCTTTTAGGAGTTCCCATCATTGTCCAGGCCTCTCAGGTGGGTGACTTAATGGGAACTTATCTAAATATAGCTCAGCCTGATTTGGGTGAACTTATTAACAGACAGCGTCATGCTTCAGTGCAGAGGACTGACCGGGCCTCTAACATTGTCAGCACACTCACCGCGTGATGAAATTTCTCAGATATCAAAGTACACCACACCAGAAATGCAGATAAGGCACTTAAAATCTTAACACGTAACACACCTGTACCCTCCTGTTAAAGGGCTTTTTGAAATACCAATTAATATGTCAGATTACACTGATTTGGCATCAGATAGTTTTACATCATGCTGTTTGATGTATTGATTTAAGATAATTACATTGCATTTTCTGCATGTGACTACAGGCAGAGAAAAACAGAGCTGCAGCTGCTGCCAATAATCTGCAGAAGGGCAGTTCGGGTCCGATGCGGCTGTATGTGGGCTCCCTGCACTTCAACATTACTGAAGAAATGCTTCGAGGGATCTTTGAGCCTTTTGGAAAGGTCAGGAACCGGTTTCACAAACATATAAAAGAACTGTTAATCGTAACATGCATAAACACAGGAAATTAACACTGTTGGTGTGTTTTGTTTCCAAAGATTGAGGGAATCCAGCTGATGATGGACAGTGAGACTGGACGATCCAAAGGATATGGCTTCATATCGGTAATTAAAGCATCTGGGTTTACTTGACAGGGCTCCACTGTTTGCCGTTAGCTTGACTCCAACCTCTTTGCTTTTTTAAGTTTGCAGATGCAGAGTGTGCAAAAAAGGCTTTGGAGCAACTGAACGGCTTCGAGCTGGCTGGACGTCCGATGAAGGTGGGGCATGTTACAGAGCGCTCAGACTCGTCCACAGCCAGCTCATTTCTGGACAACGATGAGCTAGAGAGGACTGGCATCGATCTCGGCACCACAGGGCGTCTGCAGCTTATGGCCCGACTAGCAGAAGGTTCATACCAATTTTGTATCAACACAAAACTGAAAAGAAATGACTTATTTTGAAATTCAAACTGTCATATTAGAAGCTCATCTGCAATGTTTTGTCCATGTCACTACAGTGAAAATGTGCCCAACAAAAAAACTAAAAGCAAAGCAGGGGAAATTTTTCTCTCTCAAAAGTGGTGAAAAATGTTGAGTTCATCAATTCCAAAGCTGCTCTTTGCTGACAATCATGCAGGTATGCAAACCTGGCAACTCCAATGTGGAGAAGGTGCTGTGCAGATTCTGAAGCCAGTAGATTTTAGCTGGTTAGTCCTTAATGCCACAGTGTGTTGTATTAACATCTCTGTTGGATTTAGATAGAGGGCAGATACAGGGGCCACAGTCTCAATCTGCTGGTGTGAATGACAGCTTTGGAATAGTTAGTGGGTGTAAGCAGTTCTTTCCTGCTTTGACTTCAAGGACAGAAAATAAACTCTTGATTTTCTCATCTAACTGTGGCCCGTGTTACTGTTTATTTAATGTCAGTCTTAAAAAACTTTATCGTAAAACATTTTTATTTCCCCTCTTCCTCCACAGGAACTGGTCTGAAGATTCCTCCTGCTGCTCAGCAGGCTCTACAGATGACCGGGTCCATACCGTTTGGAGGGATAGGTGCTCCAGCAGGTGAGGCTCTTGGATGATTGGAAACATTTTGTTGGGCGTTTGTTTAAAATTCAGTAACAAATTATTCTTTGTGTTTCAGCTATTCCGACTCCAGCTCCAAGCCAGGCCTTGAACCTCCCATCACAGCCACTGGCCACACATTGCCTTCAGTTGTCCAACCTGTTCAACCCACAAGCGTAAGGATCAGCATCATCATTTGGACTGGTTCACATGTGCAGATTCTCCCACATGCTCATATATACACATGATGAGTTTGTGGTCACTGTAATTATTCCTTTCATCCCTTCCTAAAGCCATTTTAGTAATGGGAGAAAATCTAACCGTGGATGGTGTGGTGTAGATATACACCCACAGGTGATACGGTCTGGTTAATCATGCTAGTATAAAATTCCTGCTTATTATTACTGACCTGCTGCAGTTTAGTAGGCAACCCTGTCTGTGGAATCACCAAGAGGGAATTTCACTCTAAACCATTTTAACACAAACGGCAGATTCAGCTGAACTTGACTTCCGTCAAATTTTTAAACAGGCGAGTGACTGTGGGTTTTATCTGCCATCATGTGGTGAATCCTTTAAGATGGGATCTCTTTGCACCTAGTGGGGACAGGAGAAAGTAACACTTTCCACATACATATGGGCATATCTGTTGTTTTAAGATGGATTGTGTTTCTTTATCTCACATTGCCTAATGTTTTTCAGGGAAAACGACCCCAACTGGCCATTGGAAATCCAAGATGATGTCATTGAGGAGTGCAACAAACATGGAGGCGTTGTTCACATTTATGTTGACAAGAACTCTACTCAAGTAAGTTGAATGATGTTGGTTCATGTCATACAGAATTACAAAAACAAGTTCCACATACCCCTAGTTTAAAAAATAAAAAAAAAAGTGCAAGCAATGGTTCAGGGTTTCTGCAGTGTTCACTAAATTAAGACCCTATAACAGCTACAGTGCTGGCTACAGATCTGATGGCACCAAAAAGGCTTAAAACTCTCCATTGTCACACACGTCACTTGACAACCCCTGTACTCAGTTGTAATCCTCCCTCTTTCTTGCTGACATAGGGTAACGTGTACGTGAAGTGTCCCTCAATACCAGCAGCAATGGCAACTGTAAATGCACTTCACGGACGCTGGTTTGCAGGTATGTAAATGATGCAATTTTTTTTTTTTTAATTCCTTAAAATACAATGAGAACATTCTCCAAGTTTTAAGTTCTTGTTTTTGGATTTTTTTTTCCAGGCAAAATGATCACGGCTGCCTACGTTCCTTTGCCCACCTACCACAACCTTTTCCCTGACTCAGTAACAGCAAAACAGCTTCTAATGCCCACACGTCGATAGTCTGGCACACGGTTGTGAAAGCCAGTGTAAATACATTTGTTTGCATTCATGGAAATGTCATTGAAATTAGTTGGCTGTGTGTAAAAGTTACATGAAGGTCACATGTCCACAATTAGGCAGTTCTTTTTCCTCCAATTGCTTTTCAAACTTTTGTGAGTTTGTGTTGTCAAGTACCACTGAAGTAATCTGCAGGTATCTATTGATTTGTATGTTCTTAAATATTACCTGCCTGTTTAAATCAACAGCTTTAGATTTCAAAAGACATTTCAAGGAGTTACAGAAACATGTTTGGTTAGTAGGCCTTTAAATGATAAGTATATTCATGTCAAAAATTCTTTGTAACTTTCTACAGCCATGAGTTCTTTTTTTGTATGAAGGCTCCCAATAAACTGACAATTAATATTGCTTTTGTCCCCTTTTTGGGAGGAGTCCATCCCCAAGCTAAAATTGTTTAGCATATTGGATTTTAACTACTCATTTTGGACAATGTAAGATGTGTATACATTTTGATTTTTAGAAGTGGACAGAAGTAAATAAAACCTCTGCATTAAAAGTTGAATTGTGCTGTTACTTGATGAACTTGCAGCAGAAAAATATTAAACGCTAATTGGAGAATGTGCAAATGTTTCTGCACCCCCGCTAGTTCACTACTCCTAAGAGCTTCTGCTCTTAGAGGGGTAGTTTACTCAGGTGTGCATTTATCAAACCAGTTAGTCTTCATCTTGTGTACAACTTAAAAGATACTCTTCTGATAAAGCAAAGTTACCTTTTTTTTTTCCATATTTGAGTGTGCAATTGACTAATTGTCACTTCTTGTGGGTGAGAAACACCCACTACAAGTGCAGTCATCACCAACCATCAGGGAACAGTGACCTTGGGGAGTAGTAATGAGCCCATTACAGCCTTATGCATCACACTGAGGCAGAGAAGAGGCTGTACTAGAAAACATACTGTACAAGCAACGCAAACGTGACTTTAAAGCTTTAGCTAGGGTGTTCAAACAGTATCTTTGGTTTTACAAAAGACTTTAAAAGATGAAGCCTTGGTTGATTTAGCACATGTATGTCTGGTTACTTGCCCCACCTCCATTAAAACGGTGCATTGCAGCTTTCCTGAGCTTTTCTATGGAAAGCGTCCATGTTAAGACTCTCCCACAAGGACAAGTGCACTGTAAAACCTAAAGTAGGATACACGGCTGCATTAACAGATGACAGGAGACGGGTTTAATGCATATACTGTACTTTATCTCCTAACAGAAATGTATAACAACAAAATTACTTTTAACTTCACAGATCATTCTCCTGTCAGCGGAATCTACATAGGACATTTCTTTTTTTCAAAACTGTACTCTGTACATTTTTTCCTCCTCCAGAACTTCATTGACATCTGGAAAAAAATGATATGGTTTAGTTTTGTCGTAGTATCTGCAAGTCTCACTTTCTATCCAACACAACTGTGCAGGATTCCTTCTGACCAAACTGCAATTATCACGAGGGGTACATTTTACAACAACCAGATTTTTTTTTTTTTTTTTTTTTTATTATATAGGCTCTAATTGCCTGATGTAGCACTTGGTGCTCTGAGTTGGTAAGTGCTTTATAAATTTATTATTATCATTATATTACAACAACCAAGGTCCTAACCTTTCACTCACTGATACTGTCAAATTAAGTTCACCTTAAGTAAAATAACTTGAGCCCAAATACTGTAAATTGAAGCAGATATCTGTAGAACCTTTTGGGATTGGGGAGTTTGCCACGGGGGTGTGTTGGATATTAAATTTAAAGTATTCAGTACAGTTACTGACGTAAGCAATTAGCAAATGAGCATTACACAAGCAGATAGTAAACACCCACCTAATTAAAAGGTGCATTAACTAGTTTCCGTACAGTGTGATTACTGACCTTGACCTTTGACCACCAAAATCCAATCAGGCCATCACTGAGGCCAAGTAGACACTTGTGACAAATTTGAAGAAATTCCCTCAAGGTGTTCCTGATGTATCGCTTTCACAAGAATGGGCCGCATGGACGAGCAGACAACCCAAATACATAATGCCTCCGGCTATCGCTGATGCAGAGGCATAAAACAGAAGGGCTGTAGGCAGCAGAGTGTCGGGGGGGGTAATAGCTGTCCCATTTTCACTTGATTTATCAGACTGTAAAATCTTAGTTAATGCACCTTTAACTAAAAATGAGCAACAATAATACAGATAAGGAGCAACTGCAAACTTAGAATGTTAATTGTAAATAGCAAGCAGCTAGAATGATCCAGCTGCTGCAGACATGTCTCTTAACAGAGGAAACCAAGTTGTTGCTGACCTGAGAGGGCTTCTCATTTCTTAGATCGTTCCTTTGCCTGGTGAGCCTGCAGGACAGCAATTGCTTCCTCCACCTGACCAAAGGAGTGGAAAGAGAGAGTGATATAAATCTGTAGTACAAATGTGTAGACCAAGTCTCAAGTTTTCTGTTTTAAAACGGTACATATGTTTTCAGCTGCTGGACAAGTACTAAATTTAAAACCCATCAAAAAAAAAAAAAAATCTGCAACCAAAAGACAAGGTGGCTGAAGCTGCAGAGGGTGGTAGAGCTGTGCCAAAGTCAAGCTGTACAGTATACGAGAAAACTGAGTACACCTCTTGAATGAAATGTTAAAGAATTCAGAAATATACTTTCTTACAATAACTGCATTATGTTTAGGGTATGACATATAGTATTTGTTTTATTTACAAAATAAAAAAAGATTGGGCCTTGTCTTTTTTGTGTATTCAAAGTACAACCTTCTTGCACCTGTGATATGCAGTTAAGGCTGAATGTATGAACAAAGTTCTAAAATCACCTTTGAACCACTCCCACTTTAGGCCTGAGTTGGCCCTAGACAGTAACTGATTTGTCTAGCAAGAACCCAGATTGTGAGACTTCATGATGGGAGAGGGTAAAAGGGCATTAGTAGGCTAGTGAACACAAGCCAGAAACACAGCTGTAGCAGTAGTTGGGAGGTAAAGAAAAAGCCATACCAATAACAGAAGGTGCAGTGGCTGTACTGAAAAACCCAAGCACAGTCCATTTACACAATGCACTGAAAAACAGAGGGGCAAGTGCTTCTGACCTGGCACAAGGAATATCTGTGGAATTTGGTGTTTCAGTCATAAAATATTATACAAAATGAACAAATGGAATCTCACTGACTTTCCAATGTAGTTAGCCAATCTTTGTTGTTTCTGAAATGATTTAGCTTCAGTCTTCACAGGCTAAAAATAAAATTTCCAAATGGACATGATGATTTCGACCATGGGTGTATTCATTTTTGTTGTATACAGTAAAATGTTTTACAAAAAAAAATCTTATTTTATGGACTACATTTGTTCCTGTTTGATAAAGAATAGGCCTGGGGGAAAGAGCATGAAGGCAAAAAATGGCTCATTTTGCATTGCTGTTGCACGGTGAGGTAAATATGATGAAGACACTTTGGAGTCTTGCCAAACTTTCAAGACCAATCAGCTAATTTTGAATTGCAAATAATTAATTTTGTAGGGGGGAAAAAAAACAGTATGTAGTTATAAGTGAACATAATTATACCTTAGCGTGCAGGGACTCGGGTGACTCCAACATGTGCAGCAGCTCTGAGTTGTCGATCTCCAGCAGCATTCCAGTGATTTTCCCAGCCAGGTTTGGGTGAAGGGCATGAATTAGTGGGTACAATCGCTCACCTACATATCACAGCAGAGAGACCATCAGCAACCATGAATACACAAGTAGCTTCAATCTACACAAGAAAAACCAAAAAGAGCAAAACTGAATGATACCACACCGAGAAGCTGTTTCTGATCCATGAGTGGAGCTGCAGCCAGCATTGAGGCAGTGAGCGGCTCTTGGCCTTGAACATTCACTGGTGGATCCTTCACATGAGCAGAAACAACCTGAAGGCAGTGAGTAAAGACACTAGTGACTATTTATTCTGTAATATAATAACATCATATGAAAATTATTTTAATATACTGATTACCTAATTGGTGTGTTTTGGTCAGTTACCTCACAGAAACTATGAATTCTACTTAAATGTAATAACAACATGAAATGGCAGTTTTTAAAAAGTGTCCTGTGGTGTTTTTGACCACTAGTGGTGCTATGGAGCAATGCTTTCATGCATGGGGCCTCATTTTGTACCTGTAGTCTTGTCATGGGTGCAGGAACAGAAACAACCTGCTGAGGGTTCCTCACTGCAGGAGAGTACCTGTACTGGCTGCTTCTGGCTACAACAGGCATGTCAGTACGTCCTCCAACAGTCTGGGTTCCAATGTTATCTAAACAAAGACATTATATGTGGCAGATATCCATGTAAATTGCACATTTTAGAAAGATGGAGCTTCTTCTGTTGTCATATTCAGGTACATACTTGTCTTCTGTGCAGAATTGACAATACGTGGAGCCTGGGTGGAAGCCTGTCTGACTGTAGCGATTGTTGCCGATCCACGTCGCGAAACAGAATTACCAACAAAGTGGGTTGAGTAGGGGCCTAAAAAAAAAAAAAAAGGAGTCAAAATTTAGCCTATAGAGTGTATACTACACAAACACACGTATATCAGTGTGAAATATTCATTCACCCTGTGTTCTCAGTGGCTGTCCTGTCCAAGAAGGTACCGGTCTCATGTTGCTGATGGCACTGTGGTTGTAGAAGGAGCGTGTGGGAGGCTACAAAATAACAACTGGCTTAAACTGCTTGACATCACATTGCAGGTCAACATTTCAATCACAATGAGTATTTGTGTTCAGAGCACAGACTGTAAACCAAGACCGACAGACAGCACCGTTTCCTGCCACTATGCAAGAGTAAGCCAAAATATCATGAACAGTCACCGCCATCTTGCTTTTTGTAGTGACCAGAGGCGGAGCTGCAGTATTAGACAACCCATCAAAGCTGTCACATGATCTGAAATACACACCTTTTTACATAATCAAGTAACTTAATAAAAACAAACTTGTCAGAAAAATGGCCACTTGTACTGAAATCAGTGTGATGTCTACCAAAAACAACAGAAATCACCTTTTTTTTTTTAAAAACTTTGGTTCCTTTCCCATCCACCAACATGGATGGGGAGGAATTAATGACCTATACAGCAACCAACTACTTGGGGCAAGCGACTTGTGGTGGCTTCAATTCTGGGGAGCGGATATATTCTATGGTTCAGACAGAATCCAAAGCAAAATGTAGTGGCGACATGACTGCACACTAGTGTCCCTAAATGAAAACAATTTAGCTACATAGGCAAAAATGATGAACAGCACTAAAAGCAAAGTAACCTTCTGTCCTCTGTCACCATTAAACATCCATACCTGTGGTACACTCATGTAGTATCCAGCCTGCTGGTACGAGTCAATGATGGAACTGGTCATGGTCCTCAGGGTAGCAAGTCTCTGCATGTATTTGTTGGTAAGGATGGCTTTACGCTCCTCTCTCCGCTGAGCCAGAGCCACATACAGCGGCTTGGTTGCAACAATTCTCCCGTTCATTTCAGTTACTGCTTTTGTTGCTTCCTCAGGTGAAGAGAAACAAACAAAGCCAAAGCCCTTGCTTTGGGAACCATCGGTCATCACCTACAGGAAACAAAGAAGCTGAAGTCAAGAAATATTTTTGAAAATAACATGTCTGTTAATGAGTTGTTTCTGTAGAATTTGAAATATTGTCATTGTTAAAAAATGTAGCTTATTTGTCAGTGTTTTTTGTTTATGCATTGTCATAGCTTCCTGTCCAGTCTTGTGTTGAATTGAGCATGCCACGGGCACTTTAACTAAGCAATGTTACACCAAGAAAGCCTGAACATTGACCATCGTGTTTCTATGAAAGCACTGACTTTTTTTACCCATCAGGGGCCCCACACTAACCTTTCATTTTGTTATTTCCATGGTGATAGTGTGGCAGAAAGAAAGCCTCTACTGTTAAATCATTTGTCAAATGGTGCCAAGATAAATATTTACACTGAGTGATACATCTACTCAGTACACACACACACACGTGTGTGTGTATTTATCACTGCTTATAATAACCAGTGAAAACATCTGTGAAGGCAGCCCAAGCCTTATTTCATTACAATACCTTGGCACTTGTGATCGTGCCATAAGGGGCAAACTCCTTCCGGAGTCTCTCGTCATCTATGCCGTCATCCAGATTCTTCACATACAGATTCACCCCCTAGAAAACAGAAAAATGAGAAATTAGCAGTTCATTCTTTCCAACCATTTTGTCTCTTGTAAATACGATCAACAAAGTGCACCAGTGTCTATGGAACATCTGTTATGATCTGACTGTTGACAGGACTAGGATGTTTGTGTTTGGAAATTAAGAAATCAAACTGTCACAATGGTCATGTACATATAATGCAGCAGTACCTGATAGCGTTGGATGCGGTCCTGTTTGATCTGGTCAAACTTGCGTTTGAGCTCCCCCTGGCGTTCCAGACGCTTCTGAGCGCGGCCGACATAAATGACTTTCCCATTGATCTCCTTTCCATTCATTTCTTCAACTGCCTGGGAAACAAGAGGAGCATCAACTGGTTACCTTGACAAGTCCTGATGCTTCTACAAGTTAAGGCAGTTTACACATCAAGTACATGATGTACATGTATTCTTGACTCGACTTTTTGAAACAAGTCCACAACTCAGCTCTACTCGTACCACTGTCATCAACACCCTGACCAACAGTAGTAGATTTTTCCTGCCCAGCAGAAATGACATCTTTAGAGGGGCTGACACACACACACTGGTTTTGACAGTCAAGAAATATAAATCATACACAATCTGGATGTTACCACTTCATTTTGATCCAGGAAAAACCCTGAATACAGTGACTGTATTATTGCTGTAATGCCCTTTACTAATACAATGAAATAAAGCCAAACTTGGCAATAAAATGCCAATTCAGTGCTTCAGGTCCAGTCTTCATGTCATTATGTTACAGTCTGAGTGGACATAGACATATTACCTTCTGAGCATCCTCATGGTTGGCATAGTTCACAAAGCCAAATCCTCGTGAGTGCCCCCTCTCGTCCTTCATCACCCGCACACTAAGAGTCCTCCCTGACAGTGCAAACAAGACCATCATATGAAAAGTGATATTTATAAAAATGTTGTACTTTGTCATGAGAACACTACACCACAAGGTCTTGACAAGGAATTATCCTTAACTTGTTTCTGTAACAGCTTCTTGTTGTACTTTTGATGACTGGCATTGTGGTTTTCCCTTTTATATGTATATTGTGCTGAAATCTTTTGTGTATATACACACACACGGCTTTTACAGCTTTTGTACTACCAACATTTAATCAGTGTTTATATTCTGCCCTACATACAGGTTTGTCATCAGACCTGAGTGTCTAATGAGTTCATGTTAAACACTTTGCGGTCTTGGCCTCCTTTGTCCTGATAGGACAGATATTTACTGACAGGCTGTTTATGTCTGTAGAATCACTGGGTCTGTAAGCTTTACTAACTGAAATGTTCACATTTTCTCAATTCTACGCACTTACTTTTTTTTGGCATATTACGAACTTCTTTGCCATCTTGTCAGTGTGTGGGCACTTTATTCGTATATGGGACTTCATCCATCATTACAATCGGTTTATTCAGGAAACACCACAAAATAGGAGCAGCAAAAACAAAACTACATTACCAAATGCAGAGAAGACTTCCTTTAGTTTCTCATCAGAGTAGTCTTCACCAAAGTTTTTGATGTAGACATTGGTGAACTTCATCGCTTTGGTGCCAAACTCAACCTCTCTTTCCTTGCGGGACTTGAAGTTGCCAACAAAACTGTAGACAGAATAGAAACAATGAACCATGGGGAAAATAACGAAGGGATAAAAGGGTATTAAGTTAGATTTAATGTCCACAGTGTAATAAAGTTTTTGACTTCACCACGCAGCATCAAAATTATAAAAAAGTCTTTTTTTAAAACAGTTAATTTGGTAAATATTTACACCAGATCATCACAACATTCAGAGAAGAAAAGACATGGACATTATAGCTCTGAGGGTCTGGCTCTGTGCAGAATCGTTAAGTGATAAAATTACAATACACACAAAGACAACAAACCTAGAAATAGATCCTACATATGCACTGACCTACGCAGGAACAACTGACATTTTTCTCCCAGGAAATGGGCCTTTGGGTTGACAAAGACAGATTCCAACTGATGTCTAGCTGTCTTTTGACTAAGCAAAAAACACATGAAAAAGTCATCTGGAAAAGGTCTGACATCTTCAGAGTTATCAACATTAACTGCTACTTAGCTAACATGCATATATAGTCTACACTACTCTTTGCCTCAACTTTTTTGAGATTTGCCAATATTTGAAAGACTAAACTGGTCGAATCAAAATATTTAATTCACTCACACTTTCCTGTCATTCAGCAGCATCCCATTCATGGTTTCAATGGCCCGGTTTGCAGCTTCCTGAGTCTCAAAGTGAACAAAGCCATAGCCTTTGGATCCTCTCTCGTCACAAACAACCTACAATGACAAAGGTTTTAAGAAGAATCTGCTTTTAAATCACACATATTTCACTTTTAGCTGCAAAAAAAAGCATGTTGCATCTTAAGTTTTGACCAAATAGTCTTATATAGGGCTGGTAGATAATTTAAATGCTTACAATATTTGCTGTTCAGTGGAATTATAGATACTTTATTAAAACCCAAGGGGGAATTCTGGTGTTGCATTAGAAGGATGAACTTTTACAAAAATGTATACATTTTATTCTCCTCAATAAGCAGAAAAACATACATGTACACACACACTACATATAAAACAAACTATATTGTGCTACAGTATACCACATTAGTGCAGGTCTGGTGGAAAATCAGAAAATAACTGTACAGTAAGGAGGGGATGTGAGGTGCTCTCTATGCTGTTCAACAGCTTGTTGCTTCTCTCCACAACCAACGCCAAAGACATTTGCATACAGTAAATCCAAAGTTTTATTTTCGCTGGTGATGAATTGATAAAAAGCTGGCAGTGTTGCAGAAAAGGAAGTGTGGTTCAAGTCTTCTGAAATGACTCTAAATGCAGTTGGATGTTGAATCTGTAGTCTAGCACTGTTGGAGTTAAGGAAGTCATGCCCTACCTTCCAACTTAAATATTCTAAGCAAACTTTAATTGTAAATTTTCTTCCATGAGATTATGCATACATTTTCCATATGAGGATACAAATATATTAATGCTGCAACTCCAATTAAAACTAACCAGCCCTGTTCTGGTATTCAGTTTATCCTCACAGCACTGCATGTAAAAGAAAGGGTATTACCAAACCTCAGCTGAGCACTAACATAATGCACACTATACAAGCACAAACAAACAGCTGTTAAAGACCAGAGGGCTGCAGCAACCCTGCAATAAACAGAAGGATGACCCAGGCCACTTACCTTGCAGGATAAAATACTGCCAAAGACTGAGAAGGTATCATATAGTGCCTTGTTGTCAATAGACTCATCCATGTTCTTGATAAAGATGTTACCCACACCAGACTTCCTGAGCCCAGGGTCTCGCTGAGACCACATTATTCGGATTGGCCGACCCTTGAGAATGTCGTAGTTCATTGTATCCAGAGCACACTCCGCTAAAACAAAATAAAACTCTTTAGTCTTTTGAAACAAAATCTGTTTTGTGTCCTATTCTCTATAAAGTGTATTATATTTACTGTGCCACTTTGTTCTGACTCTGTTCGGGGTTCAATTACACTTTGATTCTAAATCCACTATTCCATCCTCTTCTCATATCCAAATGCTTCCAAATCCATTATGAAATCTCATCTAGTTTAGTTTTCACCATCTGCAAATAAGCTATAAATACTTAATGTTTAGGTGTGATTTCTGTATTTGGTTGTTTACTTTTTCTCATGCTGTACATGTTGTCAAATTAATGAAATGTTTTCTTTACTTGAACATGTTTTGTCCATTTATGTGTTTCTTAAGATGAAGGATTAGACCGAAGTGGGTACCTCACCATCAGCTGGTTGCTGGAAGTTTATGTAGGCATATCCCAGAGATCTGCGGGTGATAATGTCTCTGCACACACGAATTGACATGATCGGCCCAGCAGGGGAAAATTTCTGATAGAGCATAGCCTCAGTAACATCAGGATGCAGGTCCCCTACATATAAAGAGGCAAGGGTATACGCTGGTCCACTGCTGTTCATCATGGGTAACAGCTGGTTCAAGAAAGAAGAAACAGTGATGAATTACTGCACTGCCAGCTGTTTGGCTCTGTGGTAATTTGAGGCCACAGTAAAATTAGAAACATCAATAAGAGCTGTAGCTAACAAGTATTTTCATTATTGATTAATTTTTTCATAAATACTTGCTTGATATAGTCATAAATTGTGAGACATTACCATCATAGTTTCCCAGTACCTAAGACACTATCTTATCAACACAAACTACTGAGATACAATTTACTACAACCTTCATAAATTGAGATTTTTTTTTAAATCACAGGCATATTAGACTTTTTACTATAACTGAATATGTAAAATGTTCTGATCATTATACAGCATAAATTCTTAAATCGGTTAAAGTTTGCTACTACAGTATCTCTACATTACATGTAAATTCATCCCACTGCAAAGAGATAAAAAATGATGTATATGGATGGTATGCAAACAGTATGACAAGACAAAATGTAGACTGTTTCAAGGATGTATACAGTCAACTGCCAGTTTATTGTCCATCCCATTTGTTTCAGTTGGGATAGACAAAAAAACAAACTGAAACGCCTCTGTATAAGGTATGTAGTTCAGCAAAACCAGAAACTACATCTAATAAACTGGCTAATGAACGTTGGCATGTGTTACAAGACAAAACTAAAATAAAGAATACTCCGGTGTTTTCCAGCCACTTATCGTTACTGCTGTGGCAAGTTAAAAATATACTTACGAAACAAAAACAAACATGGGCTAGATTAAAACTGAAAGCATAAAGTGTGTTTAAAACGGTTTTTGACTTGTGAAGTTATTGTATCCCAGAAAACAAAATTTCACTGCCTTTTCCCATCGTCACTACGTTACCTTAATATTTTGACGCTAAACTCAGTGAAAAGGTGCAGCAATCGCACAAGGTGTTACATAAATTAACGACTGCAAGATGTTTAACGCCTTGTAAACTACGACATAGCTTTATCAAGATGTTGCACTCCAAAAAAAAATATTCTAAAAATAATAGGCTCGTTACTAAAAACACGAGAGAGCTTGCCGACGTTAGCTAAATTTATACTCTACGCTGCAACTCAAAATCAGATGATATTTGCTACAAGTAAACCAGCTAAAACCCTTCAACACAAACCAATCAAACTCGCTAAAAGCAACACTTACAGTGTTTAAATAGCCAAGCTGTCCAACTTCACGTGTTGACTGTCGGTACAGGGAGTACGCTTCCAATTTAGGCAGGAGTGTTTTCGTTTAATTATGTCCGTGGAACACCTGCAGTTCTCCTCCGCGCTTTTATTTCAATTAAGCTGCGAGAGAGCAGGTTAGTTCCTGTAGAACAAGGGATAAAACCTAATTGATCTCACCTTTTGGTGGTAAATAAATACCTATAGTATGCTGCTTTTATGAATCAAAATTTCTTATGACTTAACCACCTTGATAAAATATTCCTTGTGAACAAAAATGAAGACGTAATTTGTCTGTTATCTTAAACGAAACTTTATTTCACTGAATGGTCTTTGACACTTTCCTATTTCTTACATGTATAGTGGAACTAGAATGGTTTTAAGATACATAAACACAAAGCTAGAATTACACCAAACCATTATTTCCATTTCATCATTGCTTTTTAGAGCTAATCTAAATGTTCACAACCACGTGTGTGCACTGTGTAATAGACTGTTACAGAAGCAATTTTTAGCCATAAGACTTGTCAGTAAAAACAAAGCAAGTAGATACCTGATATACAGACAGGCTTCGTTCCACATTCACTAACTGCATTTTCATCAAGCATAATAAACTGACTTTTTTTTCAACAGAAGATTATTTCAATTCATGGGAGCATTGTCAGAGTAAACAGACTGTCAGCTATAATGTGGAATGGCATCAACTACAGTATATGGAATGTAGTGGTGATACATGGTATTGTGACACTGAGCTTCTTTTCCAAAGTTTTTCTCCAAATTACACCTTCACGATAGACCTGATTGTTAAGGTTATCATTCACAACAGCTATCTTTAACAGCAAAGTGGTGCACCTGGGTAAAAACTGAAGTCAACATTTACCAATTTTACATCTGACTGGTCTAACTTTCTAAAAACAACAAGCAGATGCTGCCACCGAAATGAAAATAGATGCTGTAAGAGAAAGCCAGGCACAATTTTTTTTTAAGGAGAAAACAACCGCTTTAAGAGGAATATTTTGCAAGCAGTATTGATACAGTGTGGTCAGACATTTTCAATCAACATCAATAAAAGGTTACTTTAGGTTTTACATACAGATGATAGTCAATCTTGCAAAATACATGGAACTACATTTACGCACATACAATTTTCAATGTACTGAGATCAAGCAGCACCTGAACAGTGACTAAAACTACAATGATAATCCATACTTTATAAAAAAAGAAGAAAAAAAAAGAGCACTGCATTTTCAGAATCCTAAGGTGGAATGTCTTGTGTCTGAAGAGGAAAAAAAAAAAAACAATGGGTCCCTATCAACTTTGAAACTGAATTTGTGAACATGATCAAGGAGCATTACACCAAGATGTCAGTGTCACAATACAGCTTGCCTCTCTTCTGTATGAGCCCACAGCAGAATTGCAGTAAGTTGAATTCAGCATTGCACGTCTGGAATTTCAAACACAAAATTGTTTTGGGGTTGTGAAGCAAATGGAACGCCTACTGTCACAGTGTTTGGTGGAAATTAACTGCCAGTTTAATTACCATGACCTGTAAATATTATGAGGAATCACAAATAAAAAAGTAACAAAAAAGGGATGGAAATAATGCACAACAAACTAGCTGGGACAAAGGAGTTTGGAAGGAGGATTAGAATTCACAACCTCCCACCCCCATATGCACACACTTTCACATCCATTCACACTTGCTCATTCACCACATACAGACACACAAAGCTGACAAAAACAACAGCAACATGGACTCACTGATCAATACAACATGTTTCCACAAAATGAATCCGCTAACAAGTGAAAATTACCCTGTCACCTCACAATGAACTGAGAGGGGTAAACTAGTTGGACAGGAGCAATTCGGGCTGCTTGTCATAGAGAAGTGGGAGGGGCTGATGGAGTGGAGGGGGATGTATATAAGCTGTCTGTGTTTAAGATAAGAGTGTGGGTGGATTAACAGTGCAATTCAATTAGCTTCCCCTTCTTGGGTGTCTCCCTCTTCTGGCTGGTGTTCTGATGTCCACAGCTGGGAACAGAGAAAGGAAAATGTTATGATTTGCTGTGAATAAGAAACGCATCAGGGTAAATCAGAGGCAAACCGTGTGGGGGGAAAACTCACAGTGAGGTTGTCCCTTAGTAGCTGCATGATCAGGGTGCTGTCTTTGTAAGAGTCCTCGTTCAAAGTGTCAAGTTCAGCAATGGCTTCATCAAATGCCTGAAATAAGAAAATTAAACAAATTACTTACATTTGTATAATCTATCAGCATCTGTTCAGTAGTGACTAAACAAAACTGAACATGTCTTTGAACCAGTCAGCACTGAAAAGTAAACATTCAAAATTCCTTTCCAATGTATTCAAGTAATTAAAAATTTCTGGCCATTTGATATTTATGCGTTTCCAAAATTATGCCTTTAGTACTGATTTCATACCGTCTTCGCCAGGCTGCAGGCCTTATCCGGGTTGTTGTGGATTTCATAGTAGAAGACTGAGAAGTTGAGGGCCAGGCCAAGCCTGATAGGGTGTGTTGGCTGCATTTCCCCCTTGCTAATGTCAAAAGCTTGCTGGTATGCCAGCTGGGAATTGTCCACTGTATCTTTTCACAGAATGGGGTAGTTGATCAAAAAAAAAAAATCATGTGGTATTGTACTGAAACTGATATTGAAAACAATTTAGCAAGCAGCTGCCGACTGCATAATGAGTAGACATGGAGTAACACTAGTATTATTTAAAACGGCTAATAAACAGCTGCCATTTACTGTTGGAATCAACACTGATGATAAAGAAAATGAACAAACATTTGTATAATTTTGGGGGGGGGGGGGGCTACAGTACATTATGTTACTATGAACTGCCGAGTTAGGTGATGATGCTCTATGGGATCAGCTTTCAATCAATTTCACATTACAGTTTGTACCTGCTCCCCTTAGGGAACATTATCAAGAAACACAGCATGAATTTCCATTGCTACACAGATGATACTCAGCTATATTTATCTGTGAACCCAGTAGAATCTGATCAACTGGTCAAATTTCAAGAATGTCTTAAAGACATAAAGGCCTGGATGACCTGCAATTTCTTACTTCTAAACTGACAAAATAAAAGTTATTGTACTTGGACCTAAAAACCTTAGAAATATGCTATCTAACCAACAGTTACTCTAGATGATGTAGTTCTGGTCTCCAGTACTGTTGTGAGGAAGTGTAGTCATTTTTGACCAGGATATCTCCTTTAAATCACACATAAACCAAGTATCTAGAATTGCCTTATTTTGCCTCTGCAATATTGCCAAAATTAGGAACATCCTGTGTCAAAGTGATGCTGAAAAAGTGGTCCATTCATTCGTTACTTCCAGGCTGGACTACTGTAACTCTTTACTATCAGGATGTCTCAATAATTCCCTAAAAGGCCTCCAGTTAATCCAAAATGCTGCAGCCAGAGTATTGACAGGAACTAGCAAGAGAGATCATATTTCTCCCATATTAGCTTCTCTCCACTGGCTCCCTGTAAACTCCAGAATAGAATTTAAAATCCTCCTCCTAACATGCAAAGTCCTTAATGACAAGGATCCAGAGCCTTTAAGCTATCAAGCTCTACTCCTGTGGAACCAGGTCCCAGTCTTGGTTCAGGAGGCAGACACCCTCTCTACCTTTAAGATTAGACTTAAGACTTTCCTTTTTGATAAAGCTTATAGTTAGGGCTGGCTCGGGTGACCCCGAGCTTTCCCTTACTTGTGCTGCTATAGGCCTAGACTGCTGAGGGGGCCCCCATGATGATCTGAGCCCCTCTCCTCTCTCTCTCTCTCCATGCATCTATATGCCATTGTTAAATGTCACTAACTGCCTCTTCTATCCTGTAGTGTGTCCTCTCTCTCTCTGTACCTTTCTGCAGGTAGCCCTGGCTCTGGAGCTCTACGTTTCTGATGAGCAGTCACCGGCCACAGCAACCTGCCCAGTGTTTGATCGTTTGTTGTTGTGCCTTGATGCTTTTCATTTCTCCTCGTCTATCCACTCACCCCAACTGTTCAAGGCAGAAGGCTGCCCACCAAGAGCCGGGGTCTGTTGGATTTTTCTTTGGTTAAAGGAAGTTTTTCCTCCCCACTGTCACCAAGTGCTTGCTCAAGGGGAATTTTTTTCTTCTATAATAATGTCTAGCCCTTATTTTGTAAAGTGTCCTGAGAATTTTGTTGTAATTTGGCACTATACAAATAAACCTGAAATGAAAATAACTATTTAATGTTGGAACTATTGATTGTTGGAACTTTACACACACTGTTACAACACAAAATTATAATGTAAATAATGTCTTCACTTACCCTTCTTAGTATCTCCAGACGCAACCTCAGACAGGTATCTATAATAGTCGCCTTTCATTTTCAGATAGAACACCTTGCTTTCAGCAGCAGATGCATTGACAATGAGATACTTGTCCAGTAGCCCCTGAAAATAACAGTTGAGCTGCTCAGTTTTGTGATACTCATACTACATAACATATAAACAGTGGCATCACAATTGTATGATTTAGGCCTGTTTTAAGCACCAAAGAACCCTTACGAGCACATCATGGCAGATTTCTTGCAGCTCAGATTCAATCTTCTCCCGGTATTCACGTGCCATCTGCTGTTTTTTGTCATTGCCCTCAGTCTTCTGCTCAATGCTGGAGATGACACGCCAGGATGAGCGACGTGCTCCTACCACATTCTTGTAGGCAACAGAAAGCAAGTTGCGCTCCTCATTTGACAGCTCAGTACCTTGCTCTGTCACCGACTTCATGGCTGCGGCCATGTCATCATAGCGCTCAGCCTGCTCAGCAAGCTTGGCCTTCTGTACCAGGTCGTTCTTATCCATTTTCTAGACTGGAAAACAAAAGACAATACAGTATTAGAAATAATCATGAATACTTAATCAAAACACAATAAACTACATTCCTCACCTTGTCCACTGATCAAACATTTGTGTGCTCCAAGTTGTTAGAAACCGATTTTCCTTTAGCATTCGAAGTTATTTAAATAAGGACACCACTGGATTCGATGGAAAGTGAGGATAAGCATTGCGAACTGGGCACACTGGCAAGTGGGTCAGCCATACACATAATTTGCTAAGGGTACATGCTAGCTAGTTGGTAGGGTTCTCCAGTCCTGTTTCACCCTTATCTTTCTTAACCTAATTTAGTCTCAATAAGGCTGATTCCAATTCGTTGCACTGTCTTACAATGTGGCCTTATTATGCACAGCGCTTATACTAGCTGGTTAAATGGTGTTTCATCCGGCACTTGCTACACCAGCCGAAGCCTTCCCTGATCAGGTTTTTAATGTCCTCCCCTCATGCTGCTAGCAACACTAGCGGGGTGATATCTTTCGCTAAACTGATGTTAAGGATTGTTAAATTCACCATTTGTTTTGCTCCTATTTTCGCTGGCGACTTCACTGGATTAGATAACATTACTGGTGCTAGTCTGTCGTATTCGTAATAACGCAAAGCTAATGGCTAACAGCTAATTCTAATGTAGCGTTACCGTTATCTAACGGGAACGTTCATTAGCTAGGCCAGTAAAAGCAATGACTGGATTTCGTTTTAAAAACCACCGTGTGTTGGCAATCAACATTTTTAATTTGTTTTCATAATTAACAAAATAATCTTGTACCGCAGTGTATTATTTTCGCATTTAATTCATTTTCGACAGCTGAGCCGCGGCCCGCCCAAGCTACTGAGCCTGTCAGAACAAAGTGTCATGGCATCCGACCGTCGCTTAGCTCGCTGGCTAGCATTAGCCCCTAGATAGCCTTTCACAAACCCTGCTTCGTTAGCATGATGGCTTCTCAACAGGATTCAACCGGGCATTATGAAACGGCCATGGTAACGTTCAGCTACAAATTGTAAATGTAGTATTGTAAAGCGCAACTAATACGTGCGAGGTTTAACACTTACAATATTGGCGACTTATAATGCAGCTTTTTTTTTTCCTCTCACACTGGGCAATTCAACCTCCGTCCTTCGTCTCGCTCAGCGTATCGTTCAGGGCAGTACCACTTCCGCTACACTAACACTTCTGTTTCCCCTTTTCTCACCACACATCTGCCTTACGTAATGCGACCACTGCTAATACAAGATCCAATAGGCCTTTATTCAAGCGAAAAATACAGCTTTTCAAAGACACGCGTATGCCTTTTTAATCCGACGGGGTTGGTTATATGACGATTTTTTTATTGAAATTTAATCAAATCAATGTGGTCAGCTGTGGCTTGCTGTTTTAGTTGTGAATAATAAAGCATTCCGTTAATTTCTCTAACTATTGTATATCAATATATTCACATTATATATAGGCCTACATATTTCACATCTATATACAAATTATGATTAGATAATTGAGACTCACACTGGTCAAATTGTATAAATGCATTTTGTCAGCAACTGTGACACTTAAATACAATGTGTGTAAAGCTACTTTTAATTTACATCCTGCACAGCAGGTCAAAGGTCAAGGTCTGTAGCAAAGCACTTTTGGTGTTAGCAGGGCTTCAGTGTTTTGTTCAAGGACACTTATGCAGATGTTTATAGATACATAAGCTTGAACCTGATACTAGTTGGGTTTCTGTAGTTAACAATGGCTGGCAGCACAAACAATATAGCAAGCCATTTTTAAATCTCGTGACATTTTAATCTGTTGTTTTTGTATTTGATCTTTGCCTGAGTGCATATAACAACAGGGCTGCAACAAACAATCATTCTTATTACTGATTAGCCTGTTGATTAACTTTAGCATACAAAATATCAGAAAATTGTTCTTAAAAATTCCAGCCAAAATCCAGCAGTTTGAAAGAACAAAGTTCATCATCCATCCATCCATCCATTATCTAGACCGCTTAGTCCCGAACGGGGCGGGCTGGAGCCAATCCCAGCCAACATCGGGCAAGAGGCAGGGTTAAAGTTCATCATAATTCAGAAAAAGGATACAACTGCACATATTGGTAAATGGTCTTATACTTGCATAGTTTTTGTCTATGTGCTGCAGCACACTCAAATCGTTTTTAACCATTTGCACACCAGTGATATCACTGGGAGCAACTCAGGGTTCAGTGTCTTGCTCAAGGACACCTTGACATGTGGACTGGAGAAGCCAGGACTCAAAATACCAACCTTCCAGTTAGGAGATGGCCCACTCTACCTCCTGAGTCACAGCCGCCCTATATTCTCAAAGTAAGGTCAGAACTGCAGAGTTGCAATAGCAACTGATTAAGAAAAACACAAATGAAAATGATTTCACCAATCTCAATCTGTGTCTTCAGGTAGTGTATTAACTGCTCCTGTTATGAAGCTCAAAACACATATATTCAAAATATTTTTTCTTTAGTTCAGTGCTCGGTTTGGCAATTCATTATATAACTCACTACATTTTTTCCCCATCAGTAACTGGAATCTAAAGGTCCATTCTGTTTTTTCAGTAACACTACTTTCAGTGACAAAACAGTGACATTCACTTGGTGACTGTATAAATCTGTTTGCCAGAAACAAATATATTAATCAATTTGTGCTCAGTGTTCTACTCACCAGCAACAAACATAATTTCTGACTGTCTGCTGGACAGTATTATTAAAAGTACTAAAAGAGTGACACAGACACAGCATGCATTGAGTTAATGTTTTTTTCTATTTCTTCCTCTGCAGTAGGCAGCTTAAAAAAAACCGGATGGAAAAATTCTTTGCTCTCATTAACCACAGATCCCAGCCTAGCTGAGAGCACTAACTTCCGTCACCAGAAACTAAGACGCCACTATGTGGTTAAGGACTTTAATTTTCGCATCTGTTATGGTCCCATGGGTACTGTTTTCTGCAGCAAAAGATGAACACATGGAAGAAAGAAACCCTAAGGTAAAAAAAAAATCTTTGGGAGCTTAATGTGTTAATGAGTGAGTGGAAGAAATTCATAATGCTCCAATTTGGAAGAAAGGTACAACTACTATTAAGACTTCTGCTTTTTACAGAAAGACATTGTAAACTTTCCAGACTATGGCTTTCTTCAAGACTCAGACACTGACTCAGCAGTAGCTCCAAAACCCAATGGTAAGGTTTGTTTAAACCGATTCAAACAACTCTTTGAAAGCAGATTATGCAACACTTGCTGAAAGACTCTTCCACATTTTTTGTGAATGTAACTAAAGCCTGTATTATGTAATAATAGGGGTGATCAAGTGTCCTCATCTAATAGTGCATTTTAAGCTGCATGCTCACGTCACCAAGGCCAATTAGTCACTAACAAAGTGATTTAAAAAAAACAATGTGATCCTTGCAGAACTGCCAACATGTCTTCTGTGTGTTTGCCTGCTTGGATCCGTTTACTGTGAGGAGGTGGTGCCTGAAATATCAGCTGTCCCAGCACTTCCAAAAGAGACTGCATACCTCTATGCACGTTTCAACAAAATTACTAAAATAAGCAATGAAGACTTTGCAGACATGGGTAAATAAAGGTCATTAAACAACTAATACCCGCTCTTATGGACATTCATGGATTCTTTCAAGCTCTCTCCTTTGTGTGTTTTCCAGCTACATTAAGAAGAATTGACCTAACTGGAAATCTCATCACTGAGATAGAAGATGGAGCATTTTCAAAACTTCCCAATCTTGAGGAGCTCAGTCTTGCAGAAAACAGACTGACCAAGCTTCCTCCACTTCCCACCAACCTGATTTCATTCAATGCCAATTTCAACAAACTAAAAACTCAGGGTGTCAAGGGAACCACTTTTGAAGTAAGTCAGTAATTAACTCCACTAATCTAATGCTAAAAGGTTGCATACATTTTGTATTTTGTTTGATAAGAGCAAGTGGCCTGATCCAAAATAACGGTCTTTTATTTTTGCAGAAACTCACAAGACTAACATATCTTTACCTTGGAAACAATGAACTGACAGTAGTGCCCCAGCTTCCAGAGTCTCTTCATGTTGTGCACCTGCATGTAAGTTCACCTGTACTTCACTTCAAACAATTAAGCTCTGTAAAAGCATTTTTTTCTCTGCCTGCAGAGGCAGATGTAGCTACATGATGGACCAATTTTGTCCTTGGTCTCCTGCAGAACAACAAGATCTCAACAATAACAGATGAGACATTCTGCAAAGGTGATGATATTCATTACATCCGCACCAACTTGGATGAGGTGAGACTTGATGGGAACCCTCTTACGCTGTCACAGCACCCTAACAGCTTCATCTGTATGCAGTCTCTTCCTATTGGATGGTATAACTGAGTGTCAGAGCAGTGGTAAACATTAGGGGGGAAATTCAGTGTAAACCGAAGGATTCAGATACAAAAAAACAGAAATAAATTGTCTAAAATATGCTCCTTAACTTACATTTTATATACCCAATAAGTCTACTGCAGTCAAGACCTCGTAACAGTTTTTAATCTTTACACAGAAATCAAATGATTGAAGTGGAAGATTTAAATAAGGGGAAGAAAGAGCTTGTGTTTTTTTGTTTCTTATCTGCCAGTATCACGTGCACAAAATCATCCAAAAGGTCTATTTGTCTTTTTTCTTTTGCTACAATTAGGCTGAGACTGTTCAGTCTTGGCAGGTGCTATGCAATGTTTTTAACATAACATACCGACAGAGACTGACTGTCAAACCAGTAGTGACACCTGGGCATGGTTATCATGAACAAATGGGACCACTGTTGTGGTTATTTTCAGTATTATCACTGCTGAGTTGCTAATGTGTTTAAACTGAAGACCATATAAACAATAAAATCTGCATGTTGGAAGTGATTTCTCAAACAGCCTTTCACTCTTGATTCCTTAATGTTCACAGCTGTTTATTTCTGTCTGTCTGAAACAGACAGGGAGCAATGAGTCCAAGAATGTGTCCTTAGGCAACATATGAAGTCCACATTAAGGTGGATCATCATTCTCTTTCAGTCCATGGACAATCTTCTGCTGGTACTCCCGTTCTGATTGTTTTCTTCGGTAGACATCATCTGGCAAGAAAACAAAAGTTAAGAGACTAAGAAAAGTCAACTGTAATATGGACAGTTTTGATTCCGTTAAATCTACCGTGAGTAAATAAGTATCATATTGTAGACTACTGAGATTACATTCTGTCTGGTTCATAACAAAAGACTTTCTGAACTAAAACAACTGCTAAAGCCTCATTTGAATTTCAGATCATTTTCAATACAGAATTTATGCACAAAACAGAATGATTTTTGTTCCCCATCTCATACATTGATAACATGGTAATGGTTAGTGTATGAAAAATAAAATGTCATTTGTATATGGATACATGACTACTGTTTTAAGACAGACTTGAAAAATTGAGAATCTGTTTTTCACAGCAGGGAGATTGACATGTCATAGTAAGAAAAGCAAGTGTGTTACTAAAAACATTGGCTCTATAGGAGAAACAGTTTTAACAGGAAGGAACAGACTGACAAAACACCGGCCACAGTAGTAGGTTCGACACATTAAACAACACGTGTGCAACATGGCAGCTAAAAACGTTAGGTGAAATGGGTTAGCTTGCCAGACGAGAATCCATATAATAAAATAGAGCGAGTCTTAAACTATTAAATGCAAATCAGACGGCCAACTTTGCCAGTTTCAGTCTCTTGCAGTGGTTGGTTATTAGCTTGTTTTTAACAGCTGTAACAAACGCGTAACAGACACGGGGCTAACCGGCTAAGCAACATCATGCTAGCTTGATATCAAGTTAAAACTAAGGATTTGGCACAAACTGTGTCATTTGTTACTCACAGAAAGTCTCTTTTCCTATCCTCACGTTGATCATAATCCACTCGATGAAACCTCCGATGCAAAAAAAGATAGGAAGGAACCTGTAACCCCCGAGACGTCGTTTACCTGGGACCAAGCTTAATATATATTTTAGGTTTACACTCCTCCGAAACATACTGGCCAACAGGACAAATCGTGTGTCGATAAACAGTCTTCAGTACGTTTTTCAAGGCTAGGTCAAGTCTAGAACTATGTCCTTCACCAATGTTATGAGAGCGGTCAAGTCTAGAACTATGTCCTTCACCAATGTAATGAGAGCAACCAGAGTCAGGGAGGGTGCACTCGTTTTGTAACCTGGCATAAAGCAAATGGACGGACTAGCCTGGAACGTTAGAGAATAACCTACGGCAGCTCGATGCTGAACTTTGAAACGAACGCCCCCTGAAGAATAGTAATGTTGCGTTCAAGCTGTAGTTGTTAAATAGTATTTACGAGCAACCGACTGGAAAACGTTTTCGCCAGCCTCAGACAAGGAGCTGCGACATGTAATTCGGTTTCTGAACTACTGAGGATCTCTTTCACTGACAATATTTACCACTTGCCAAATGAAATGCAAACATAATGCCCACATTCTCTACATGCGACATAACATCCGGTTGTACAGCTGTTTCATTACAATACAGTATTTTAAGTATTGGTCAATGCTTGTTAGCAACAGCAAAAAACTGTAATATGAGGTTCACTAGATTATTCAACTGTGCCATTTGAAAGGTTTTGGTCTATGAAGTCCTCCTAATCAATGAGAAAATATGGCATATGATATGGAGAAGGCCTCAAGTTTAACATCTGGATGTACTGTATTTTAATGGATCTTGCAAACCAGGGTGTTTCTCACTGAATGCTTGACACTTAAACCCACACATGAATTACAGTACACCCATACAAATAATTTCTCTGGCTAATGGCAATAGGACTTTTCATAAGACTGAAATGTTTATAGATAAACACACTCACACACTTTACCATAAACATCCAGATTATGTTAATCCAGAGTTGTCATTTACACCCTCCCTGTTAATCTGAGTATAGTGGTTTTTTAAATTAGAGCTGGTCTGTTGTCTGTTTTCACAAATTTGAAAGTGCATTTTAAACAGCACTGAGGCTTTAACTAGGATGTATAAGGCCCCTTAACAAGTGAGAATCAGTCACTCATTATTGTAATTTAAGATAAACATAAACTGCAAATCAAAAGACAACAGCATCATATTGTTCAGTCAGAAAAAGTGGCTTGGGTTTCTCAACTTGAGTACATATAGTATAATTAAAAGTAGCTGATGTGGCTGGGTTTTACAATAGCTGAAACACCACAGGAGCTGTAGTGCCAATCAGTTAAGGTGAAAAGATCAACCATAAAGGAATATTTCATGACTGACAAATACACAAAAGGGTTTATTTTAGCTGGGGTGACCAAACATCACTTTTGATATGAAAATGTAACAGTATGTCATAATACTGCAAAATGCACACAGAAAATACATATACATACACAAGACAGACATGCAACAGCTACTAGGGCCTTCAGAAAAAGTACCCCATAAGGAGATAATAGAGCTAAGAGACCAATTTTAAGATCTACTTTAAATTTCACAAAAGGTAACATTATGTCAAAAAAGAACATTCCTGACACCATGGGATTAGAAAAAAGCTCCTTGTTCAGTCTCTCTAGTCCAGAACATGATTTAACTTGTGAATAAGAGGGCTTTTAGAATATTTTCTCCTTGACCCCCCAGATTGTGGTATACATTTACATTAATGCATGTTAAGACTATAGATTTAATCCCATATGTAAGTGCAGAGTCTCAAATCATGGCTACCTGTTCACAGTCATTTTATTACTGATGTTGGGATAAACATATGCATAATTGTTTTCATAAAACTCAATGTAACCACCTTCTGTACAACGATGGGGTATAAAACATTATTCCTAAGTGAAGAAACATAACTATACACTGTTTCTGCTTAAAAACAAAGAAACAGTTTTTGTTGTGTAACCTAAGTAATGTTTATCTGTCAAGACATCAAATATGTTGTGGTAGCACAGATAAAGTGTTACACCACAATAACACTAACTCAAAGTGAATAAATCAAGAATTCACATTTTTATTGTTTGTGCGCTACCCACAGTATCTGGACTTTGAGCTTTGTGCTGCATTCATCAAAATTAAGAAAATCATTAGTGATACACTACATGATGACGATTTGTATAATATGAAGACAAAGCAAACAGTAATGGCATCCACAACTGTGCTGTAACTCAGTCTTCAACTTTGTGAGCTGGTCTACAGAAAGTCCAATGATGCTCCACCGTGTTCTCGTTTGCACGCTCGCTCATGTGATGCACACGTGTGTTCCGAATGGTGAAGCCTTGTTTCATTATGTAGTCCATGAGGTGAACCCTTAGGGACACCTCCTGATGATAGTCACATGGTCCAAAGGTGAAGGACACCTGGCAGTCTCTAGTGTCCATCATGTGTTTGTTCCACTTAGTGAAGTTGTTGGAAATACCTTCGAGCAGGGAGTGAACCTTCGTAGTTATGGTTACCTGTGTGATGATAACAGCAACTGGGTTTGAATATTTTGAGAGTTTCCGAGTGCTAGAGAGCTCTACTACCTGCTCGAAGATGTCAGGAGGGTACAGCGGCTTGGGATCGTTAAGGCACTGGATCAAAGGCTCGATCTGGTAGAAGTCCGCCTCTTTTCTCAAGAGGTCTGTCTCTGCGAAGTCCACAGGGAGGGTGAGCTCAGATGTCCGCAGAAAGTTCAGGATGTACCGGAAAAGTGTTCCATCCCGATCAATGAAATAATTCCCTTGGGAATCACGAGTTGTGGGGAAATCTCCCCTGAACATGGCGCCCAGCATGGAGTCTGGATAGCGCTGTAGGGTGGATAAACTAGTGGTGTACAGGTGGCCTCCCACGTTCAGGGTAATAGGAGTTGTCATCTAGTGGAAAAAAGGAACACTGAAGAAAGTAAGAACCTAGTTTTTGAGAAGTTAAAGGTTGCATTTGCATACTGCAGTTGTAGACAACATGAACAGTGTGAGTCTCAGCAGTCAGTTTATTAATGACAAAACAATGAAGTCGAATAGAATGGATGTACAATAAATCCTGCAGTTTGTTGTTCTGTGCTGTTGAAGTGTACTGCATTCAGTTTTGGTGTTTCTAATACTGTGGCAATAAAAGGATGTGAACTCTTCAGAATGACCCAGTTTTCTGTAATAATAGGTCATAAAATATAATCTGATCTTCATCCAAGTCACATGTATAGATAAGCGCAATGTACATAAACATACATTTATACCCTTTTGTGTCTTTATTCTACACACCCACAAAACACTCACAATGCTGGTGTTCATTCTGTGATGAAACTTTGGCGTAATTTTAGCTGGGTGCCCACTCCTAGTCAGATTTGCTACAGTACTGTGTCCATTTGCAAACAGTTTGTCTAACTGTGGGCCAATTCATTAACTAAACTCTTTGGGATTACTTTGTTACCCTTTCCAGCTTCAGGCAAATCAGTAATTCTTGATCGCAAGTCTTTTAAGATCGCTCTTTTATGAGGCATAGTTCACATCAGCAGATGCGTCTTGTGAATACCAAGAATATGCTAAGTATCTAACTCACACCTCCAACCTGGTTTCACTGACTGAACTCCAGGGTTAACTCCTGACTGCAATTAGCTTTTGTTGATGCCATTAGATTCACATACTTTTTTAAGTTTACACTTTTCAACATGGACAGAACAACACAGAGATGTTGTGTATTATTAGTTGTGTCTGTTCATTGTTGTAACTTTGATTGGCATTTGACTATACCTTAAAACAAATTTACACATAAATGCGTGTGATTCCAGGGGGTTCACTCATCGTTTATTGCCATTATATTTCTGTACACTCCATGTATACCAATCAAGACAGACTAGATATTAAACTGATTTATTGCAAGACTGTTACAATAGGCTGCATTCACAACAATGAATTTAACATTAAACTCAGACATCTATTTATCAGAGATATATGAAATTACTGTTAGTAGGCTCTTAGCATCTCTTACCCTATGGACCCAGTCTCCATTATCCATTTGTAGAACAATACCCACTTGGTCAGAACCAAAACAGAGAGGGAACAGGTACTGGTGAACTTACTTCAGTTTCACCTCTGGGATAAAGAAAAAAATAAAACTTAAGATGAGCTCTAACAAAAGTTATGCAGAATATGATCACGTAGACCTGCAACATTAGTCAACTGACATAATTAACCTGCAACTGTTGTGATAAGTGGTCAAGAAACCTACAAGTAATGTTTGTTTATGTAAAAATGTAAACACTATCTGACAGAAAGCGTCTGTAGCTGTATATTAACTGAGCATACTGTATTCAGGCATTTGTCAGTTTCATTTCCAGTCACGTGTAGTGAGTTGAACTACTTGCAGCGCTAGACTGGACACGTTTCTTCCAGATATATTCATTATGCTTGCTGATGAGAAAACAACTGTCCAGTAGCAGCTGACTGTGTTTAATTACGTGCAAAACACAACCCACCTCCAAAACCACAGATTCGCCTAAAGCCTGATAAAGCAGCTACTTTGTATCCGTATGTGGACGCAGCGTGACAAGTAGCAATCAACCTCAATGTACTTCGCTCTGCTATAAACCAAGCTGGTTTATGGCAGAGCAACAAAATGCATTTTGACAGACCAACATTAAGCCGTGACTCCACATTATAAGCACTTGGGACATCACGTTATAACGTTAAATACAATTCCAGCACAACAACGGAAATGCTTATCGTAGTCTGCTAGCTAGCAAGCTAACCTAACTAGCATTCCCTAAAGCCATTCACGTTAGCTGCTGTCACTATTACACCGGGGGTCATATACTACTTGGAAGTCAAGTATATACCAAAACAAAGCCTTACCAGCTCTATCACTTGCCTGCGGGGCCTTTTTTTTTTGGTCCTATAACAGCAGCGTGGGATCGACATATATCGATGCTGTCCGACAATCTTTGATGGTTGACGCTTGTCGCACCGCGCAGCTGTGATGGGCTCCAGGATGCAGCAGCACTGCGCACCCACGTAAAGGGCGGGACGGAGGGAAGAAGATCCTGCTGCAACCACAGACACCTCCTAGGCACCTCATGAAAACGTCCATTCACACATCTGAACACAGTCACGTACACATATGTACACGGGCCTTTGATTACCATGATCCATTTTACATTAGCCTACAAATTAAACTGTGTTTATCAGAACATCTAAGAAAAATGCTGGCACAGTATAAACCTTGTCTACTGCCCTAATGCATTTTTGTCTAAATATGCATGCCATGTATAAGTAACACGTGAAGCATTGAAATGGCTGAACGTCTTTTGTTCAGGAAGATTTCTTTGCACCACCCATGGCATCTTGTTGCATGATGATAAAGTCCAAGATGAGTTCGGCTGTCTGTAAAGGTCTCTCCATCACCACAGCATGTCCACAGTTGTCCAGCAGGTCCACCCTGCACCCAGGAAACACCCCTGCGATGACTGTAGCTCCAGGGATGAGTTCGGCTGTCTGTAAAAGTCTCTCCATCACCACAGCATGTCCACCCTGCACCCAGGCAACACCCCTGCGATGACTGTAGCTCCAGAAACACCCGTCACCTGGACAAATATGGGACAGTTATCATACATGGGTGGAGCCAAAGGGTGGCCAGGGGTGGCATTGGTAATCCCCAGAGCCTGATTGGCCACCTCTGGTGCTACTGCTGCCAGAGTCAGCATTAATAAGTACTCAGAAATTTCCCCACTGTGGGATCAATAAAGTACCTACCTATTAATGAATGAAAAATGAAAAACATTGACAAATGTTGGCTTAAAACAACTTATGTTTCTGGTCCTTTAGAATTGATATTGGTCAGATTACTTTTATTTTATATCATTCATGCAGCATGATATCTACATCACTTCTTTTACTGTTATTGTGGAGCATTTGGCATTGTTTATTTTACACAAAATAAACAGTTTGGTTCTTAATAATTCATGGTTTATTACTTCATGGAACCTGGGGTTTCATTTACATTTTTACACCTATTCCAAATGTGTCACCCCTCTCTAGGTCAGTGCTCCAGCCTGGCCAGCAACCCATCCAGAATTTTTTAGATCCAGCCCTGTTATCATGCCTCTGTAGATATAAGACAAAAGGGTCTCCACTTAGACTGAGCTGCTTGAAAAACTTGAGCCATCACCTTCAGGTTACAAGTTGACACAGCTGCATGCATATCAAGATTAAGCAAAAACAGCCTGGGAATCACTTTTAAACTGGCTTTGCTAAGTCACTGTATCATAGTTACCTGATCTTGTTTGCCCCATATCACTTGTAAAGGTGCAGTGATCAGATGTAAGTGCTGGTGTAGGGCGTATTTTGATTGACCAACAATCTCCATGAATACTAATAAAAAAGAAACAAAATTACCAGTAAGTCACAAGCCATGTACTGTGTGACTACATAGGAAATCCCTATATTTTTCAGTCCAAAGTGAACTAACCTTCTTTGTAAAATGTGTTGTGAGGCTGCCGAGCATCTATCAGCCCTTGAAGAATCTAAACAACACGTTTAAACAACCACATTATAAATGTAGCAGCCTTTGAGACATTTTGTAGAATGAATATTATGCTGTAACTGTTCCTGTGATTGTCATTAACTGTAAGTGCATACACAATGAAACTGATAACATTATCATTTTCAAGTGTGGACCTGTTGAGGGATTTTAAAGCGAACATGGGAACAAAGTCTGAGCATGTCCTCCATTTCTTCAGGTGTTGTGGGGATCAGTGGGTTGTTTAATGTGTAATTGCTGTGCTCCAGGTCCTGCAGAAACTTGCCATACTTGCCCTCACGTGGATGCCTTATACCTGCAAAATAAAATCAGTGTTTTTTGATGGCAAACTAATGTTGCACACTCATACAATCATACTTAAATACTCTAAGTGTGTGTTTTATTATGGTCATGGCATGTCAGATTCTTGTCTATTTGTACAGGGATATGTACTGTATAGCATGAATCAAGTGCCACATAGCACCATGTTTTATAGCCTAAGCTTTTTTTGCAATGTCCCTAACTTGGTTTTTAAAATAAAACTCAACGAAATATTTACACACCACCACAATGCACAACACACGACACAATTCACCAAAAAAAAGTACCATAAAAAGACAAGCACCACCACTCGACTCAATTCTCTTTAAAATTGGTTCAGTTTGAGTTTAAAATAATTTCGGTCATGATCCATTTTGAGCTCTGAGCTGTCTGTCCAAGGGCACTTTACAATTTCCCAGTGGACAAACTTTGTGTTACTGAGCCAGAAGTCTTGAGCGAAGCCATCAGGTCACTGAACACCTTAGGAGCCTGTTGCTTTAGGCATTTATAAATTTGTTTAATTTTAGCAACTTTAATGAAAGGATCAAACTTAACCCATTTATTTCCTTAAAAACATGACAGTATTGTTTGTGGCTTCCTGTCCAAATTGTATAATCATAACAGCCTTACTGTTGGCCTTTGTTGCTTTTTTGTTGTCATTCTTTATCATCAGTATTATATAAGAACCTTTACAAACAAACTTGTACAACCCGCATACACACACAGGCGCGCACACACACACACACACACACGCGCGCACACACACACACACACACACGCGCGCACACACACACACACACACACGCAGAGTGACTGACCAGCTGGACAAATGAGAGTCATGCTACATATTTCTAAACCCCAGCTACACTCCCCCCATGGAGATTCCCAGCAGATAGAAGAGTTTCCTGTTCAAGCCAATGGTTTCCACAAACTGAGAAGCATAAGGGAGGAAAAACAGATTTTATTGGAATGATTTAGGGCAATGATCAGCACATGCATATACAGTACCTCATAGCGCTCTCTTCACTGTACCTGATGGATCCTTCTGGCCTGTCCCTGTATGGAATAATCCTCTCTATTGGTGCGTCTTGTTCCCTCGTGGCCAGGCATATCCACACACACAATGTGCAGATGTTTTGGTAAATACTAATGTATTAGAAAAGACAAAGTATAGCTTAAACCCATTAGTGTAAGTTTGGAGGCCAAGAAGGGCAGTATGATTTTTTGGACACTTGGAGTCAGCAGAAACAAGAAGTGAACACAGCATATCATCACCTTTGTGCTGATATGGCAAACATGATAGCAAAACATTTTCTTATTCACACATCCAACAGTTACAGAGCAACATTAGCTTTCATTTGGAGTCATGTTTGTGCATAGAAGGATTATGAGACAATGGGCCCTTGGGAACATACATGTAAAGATATGAGACACTGGGCCCTTGGGAACATACATGTAAAGACATGTTGATGAAAATAAGCACTGAAATACTTTACTTTGTAAATAATCCATCTGAGTTTACAAGGTTTAAATATCCAGGTCATCTGCAAATTCAGATAACAAATTTGCACATGGATTTCTTTTGCTGTAATCATGACTGATGGATTGTAATCTGTTTGGACAAGAGGTCTTGGTAACTTCTCATTCTTAGCCATTTAAACCACACAAATAGATATAGGTCATTTTCAGAGCAAACTATTTCAATGCCAAATCAGTGATCTTTAATTCTGAAGTGTTCTTGAATTAATTACTGTACATTTCACAGTTAGGTATTACATTTATAAATTCTTAAGGCCTTTCTGTGCTTCCAGTATATGTCCAAATTATGAAATACAACTATTGGGTACATTTACTTCATAAAATGTCTTTGTTTTACATTATTACAAAGATTTAACAACATGTGATCTAGTTATGTTTGTTGTCACAATTTCTTTAAAAAAGGGAGGCAGTTTGAATTTTTGCACCAACATCCAAATTTAGGTCCTGCAAGTTCATAGCAACAAACTAATGTTTAGTGTTAACCTGACCTTGACAACAGTGAGCCACGTGTCTTTGTGAGCAGAAAAGCCATGCAATATTAAAATGGAAGGTCTCTTTCCAGGCTTTCCCCTGTAGGAGTAGCAGAAGCGATAACCGCCACAGTCAGCGTAGCGTACCTGTAGGCCCAGAGTCGTCCTCCAGTACCTGTAGAGGAACAGGTATGGCTCAGCTTAAACATACATGCATGGCACCTTGGAGTTCAGATGTGGACCAAATGATACAAAGGTTTATAAGCATGTGTTGCCAGCATTGTCCATTTCCTTTAGTTACTGCTAGAGCAATTTAATGCATTTATTGTAAGAGAACAATCATGTCTGGTTATTACTTATTGTTTATTAGTAACTATAGTGATGAAGGCCCCTTAATCTCAGTTTAGTAGTTATTTTAATCCCCACCACAATATTTCACCTTTAAAAGTATTTATTTTAACCAAATCAGTTCTCTAAACCTAACCAAGTAATTTTTATGCCTAAATCTAACCAAAACGTTAGTAAATAATCCATCTGCAAAAGTCATACTGGGATCTCTGTGGGACCAGTACGAACTGGAGGGAAAATGAAAGTGACTGTCAGTGTTTTCAATGTACAGTAGGCTACATATGAGCATGTGGGTATTGTTCCAAGACACACTTGTCACTGTGCAGCCAAGCAGTGAAATCGTTTGAAAGAATGATAGCTCCAGTAGCTAACTACATTTAAACAGCAATGCAAAAATGCAGCTTCAGTGACAATCTGGAATAAACATGTTTTGCAATCAGTCTTTGGTAATTCATTGCAAAACATATGTAAGAGAACGATCATGTCTGGTCCCTCTCTGGCACTCTGGAGGGAATTCACATCAAGTATTAAAAACACAAAGTGAAAACACAACCTCACCAGTAATACACTTTAATGAGAGCCGAGGGCCAGAGAAAGAAGGAAGCAACAAAGGCCAGGATGGGAATAACCAGGGTTCCCTCAGCAATGATAAACAGGATCATCGCATCTAAATCAGCTGCCATTGTTGTCTCACCTATAAAATACGCAAACACACACATCACACACACAATATCAGGAACTGTGCCTTTATCCATTTGCACATGCTGTATATTAAGTGTGTTACAACCAGTAATGAGGAGCAGTAAAACCTGTGCACAGTTTAAGTAATTAAAGCAGCTTTTATTCTTTAAAAAAAAAGCAAAAAAAGATTTACCTTTCATATGATTTTTCCCTGCTCCTCGTTTCTTCTGTCACAGTGACTGCTGGTTCAGTTGTGATTCGGTTGATTAGTTGTATAGCATCCAGACACTGTAGTTTATCGACAGGTGTTGTTGATCTGTAGAAAGTACAAATAAGTTGATCCGGCCAAAGTAAAATCAAACACGTCCCTGTGGAGTGAAGTCAGTCACATTATGTTTACTCTGATTGCAATCATTGATTTTTACTCATTACTGGGGAAGACCAGGCCACAACATTAATCAGGCTTTCAAAGTGAACATTCAGGCCTGGACTAAAAAAAGATATATAATGCATATCCAAACTATCAAGAGAAATTAAAAATACATTTATTTTCACAACCTAAAATAGGAGAGACACTCAGTGATTACAAATAACATAGATAATAAAAAAATAAATCTGTTTGTTGCTTTGGACAAAGGTGCCTGCCAAATGAATCATTGCAAATATGCAGTTAAAAATTAAAGTGCACTGTTTGGCAGTGCCTGTGGATCACACTTGGTGAACCAGATAACTGTCACACATGCTTCAGGTCCAAAACTTTCCACTGGGCATAATGATAGAGACAGCCTGTTCCAGTCAGTAGTGAAGGATCAGGGCTTTCTGCACTGACCACTGGGTGTCATGGCATCCACAGACTGTGAAGCATCATCACTCCTGCTGCAGCTGACAGTGAAGCTTTGAGGCATTTGGGTAGGGACGTCTACCCTTCAATACCAGAAGCACTTTGAACTTGACTGAGGGAAAGAACAGAACCATGAACCAGCAGAACATCACCTCAAACAAAACACGCCCCAGAAATTAGGCAGAATCAATAGTCCACTGGGGTGTTGAGTACAATAACATGACTGCTGCAATTTCTGTATATCTACACTGTATATGTTCCTTTATAGATATTCATACACAACACATGCAGTGTAGCACAACTAAGAACAGATAAGTTACATTTCCTGAATAACAGAGGAACTGTTTGCATAGAAATTTACATTAGGTCACATAACACCAGAATCAGAATCAGAATCAGAATCAGCTTTATTGGCCAGGTGTGTTGGACACACAGGAATTTGACTCAGGTACATCAGCTCTCAACGTGCAAACAGTAAACCAGCATAAGGCTGTGTAATATAACAAAATAGCAGCATTAACATCAACAGTGCAAACAATGCAGAAAAAGCAGTATAAACAGACAGTAAACAATGCAAACAAAGGAATGTTCATTGAAATTAGATAAATAGGGATACAACAAAGTACTAGAGACCTGTACAAGTCTGTATAATCTGGATGAGGTATATTTACAGGTATTGCACTGAGGATTATTGTCTAATCATACTGTTGTGGGTTAAGTGTTCATCAGAGCGACAGCCTGGGGGAAGACACTGTCCCTGTGCCTGGTTGTCTTGGTGCACAGCGACCTGTAACGCCGTCCAGAGGGGAGGAGTTCAAACAGATTGTATCCGGCCTGTTTGGTTGCTGAGCCAAACCAGACAGTGATGGAGGTGAAGAGAACAGACTCGATGATTCCTCTGTAGAACTGTATCAGCAGCTCCTGGGGCAGGTCAAACTTCCTGAGCTGGCGCAGGAAGTACATCCTCTGCTGTGAGTTATGGGCAAGAGAATTATGGGCCACACGTTTTTCTATGCATCGAAATAATCCAGTCATTTTTAGCTGGTTGTAATCTATTATAACTAATGGAAAAAGTACAAATGCTTGTTGACAGAGAGAACTTTTAAAGGGTATACTCTTTATCGCTGTTATTTCTGAATTGGTTTAATTATAGGTACGCGTTTGGACTTCAGTATTAATCAGAAAGTGACCTAGGGCTAGAGCACATACAGCCCAAGATTACACAGTTAAAAAAAAACAATCTAACACAGTGTATGGTGCCATTTTGCTGCATCATTTGCCCACTACAGATGACCTACTTACAAACTAGAGCAGAACAAATGGACAAGGCAACTCTGCAGAGGGTGGAGGGGCTGTCCACAATCTGCCCACATACACAGTGTATTCTACAGGTTGTCTGAGCAACTGTCATGTCAAAATTAGCCCTAATCGTCCTGGTTGTCACATATCCTGAGCCGCAGAGCCAATATGGCAACACAATAATGTGGATTAGGTGTGGAGTACTCATCTGTGCATGGTCAGTGAGTTCCTCTGGAACTATGACCCTTTGATTTTTGCCAAATTAGAAATTTAGCAACAGATGTCTCACCCTCTTGAGAAATACACTGCATCCTCTTCCACAGACCTACCATCAGTTTGGTCTGCATGATTAACGCTGTAATTTTACAGCAGAATTAAAGGTCACCATAGCAGGACTATGTCACAGCCATGACCGAAGTAGCAATGGCTGAGTTTTAGTCCTTAGTATTAGTGTTAATTTCTATCATGCAACCTAGATCAGTAGACCGTCCTTTCCTCCTAAATGCCATGTCTTTCAAGAGCCATATCTCCAGTTTGCAATCCAGGATTTCTGTTGGAAATTTTTAATTTTAAGAAAATTATTGAGGTATTTGTTTTTAGACTTTGGAAACCTCCTGCCAGCCACTAGGAATGAGGCTATGCTACACCAGATCCAGATCATCAGATGTGTTGTACCATCACATTAGAAGTGTTCATAGCAGTTCCAAATGTTTAAATAAAATAAATCGGTTAGCATAGAAAGTGGATTTCTAGACCGATACTTGCCTAACACCTCTCTGTTATGAAACTTAAATAGTCAGACCCCCTGAGTACTGAAGGAGCATGAATAGGTCTGGACCCTAAACTGTGTTGAGTTTATAACTTAGAAAGAACATGCTCAGATTACAGAATATGACTAAATAAATACACAACACATTTAAATAAGTATTAGTGTATAGTCTGCGATTGCTATTATCACTAAAATGTCTATTTTACTTACTGTACTTTAACCTTGTCCATGTTTTCAATACAACAACAATGTTGTACACCAAAACTGCACACACTTGCTCAGCTAAACTCTGCAAAAAAATCTCCCCAGGTTTCTCAAAAGTGCCTAATATGTGCTGAACAGATCTCTTATTTTCCACACAGATAGTGGTTATGCTAACAGAAAATGTGCAAAAAAAAAAACAACATTCAACTTGAGTTCCTTCAAATAACAAACGTGTTTATTTCCACACAAGTGACACTTTTATTAACATCTCTGCCATCTAAAATGGATAATCTTAAAAATTAAAGTATGAGCCCTCCTAATTAATAGTGCAGATATGATAAGGGGGCAAGTGTTTCAGTGTAGACAAATATGGATGTGTGTAGGTGTGCTTGAGCACGTTTCCCCTCAGGTCCTGATGAGCACAGCAACCGTCACAGCTGTTAGAGCCACGGCAACCACAGAACCCCAGATCATCCATGGTTTCTGGAACAAGCAATGATACAAAAAAAAATTTAAAAAAATTGAAGCACGGTCGTTACCACATGAAACTGCCCATCGAAGAATTGCCCAAGCTTTGACAGATGGAGCTTGCCACCGAGATCAATGCAGTGCAGAGAGAATGTGATTTAAACACAGCTCTTTTGGATAAAGATAAGCCCATCCAAGGCAACTGAGAAACAGTTGTTAAGCATTAGCCATCCAGACAAGACAAATAGATGTCAGATATCAGAACTGTATGATTGAAAAGGTTAGAGTCAATCTTTGGGGAGTCCCCTGAGGAAGGCATTCTTGGGGGTGAGGAAAAGCTGATTAAGCCATGCAACGGTCTAAAAAAAAAACAACAACAAAAAAACAACAACAACAACAACACTAATGAGAATGAAAGATGTAGGTCGACTTGACAGGACTAATGTGTAACTTACTACCACATTGCGCTGAAGCACCAATACAGCAAAGCCAGGATAAGGCCGATGGCTATGGCTTGAACAGGCAGCAATAGGGAAGTCTACAGAAGGGAAGGGATATTATAGTAATCAACTAACGCGACATACTTTAGTTGGGTGTAGCTTTATTAATAAAAAAACCTCAGTTGTATCTGTGTTTAAACAAATCCCAAAGCCACAAGACTGTCAGTGGATAAAAGCAACAGTAAAAAAAGACTGAATGAGTAGGAGTAATTTAACAAGTTTAAAAAAAAAAAAAAAAAAAATCCCTCAGTAGTTTTGAATTTTATTCCACATTTAGCCATAGGCTCTATATGTAAAACAAAATTAAGAAAATAAGTGGAAAAAAAAAGGATGCAAAGCTCCTGCTCCCAAACCCAATTCAACTGCTGTTTGATTTCTATGAAATAAAAGCCATGGTGCTGTTTTTAACTTAAATGCAGATCATTATTACGATGTTCACATTACAGGCCTTAATGCTCAGTTCCAATCCAGTCTTTTTTGTGTTGATGGTTCACATCCATGTTTGTATGTGACATGTAACCAGCTCCTGGGTGTGAACACCAGTGGGGTACTAAACTGCCACATATGCACAGATTTAACTGAAAGGTGAGTAGTTTGTACAACATCATTTATGCGACAGTCAAATTATGAATTCCCTGAAAAACTGCTTGGTTACGATACAGTATGTTCCTTCCAGTTTGGCTAGGTCAGGAGCCTGTCAATTATTAAACAAATGTAAAACACACCTGACCCCCACACATACTGCTGCTGCTGCTGCTGCTGCTCTCCTCCACGTTATTTTTGCCGGTCTGTGACTGAATGATGACAACAGGTGATATGCACATACGCAGAGGAGTGAGACGCTGAAAAACCCCCCACGAGTTCTGATATGACCATTCTTACAGCTGTCGCACAGTCAGATCGGATCACACATGCAAGAGGCCCAGATCTGACCTGGTTTGTTCACATATCCATGAAAAGCTCAGATCTGAGTCACATGGAGGGAGGACAATTGATTTGAGTCACTTCAGCATATTATGTGAACAACGCATCTACATTTAATGCACATTCACATTGTCAATTATGTGTGATTTTGTTAAGATTTCCTTCTCCTGTCTATTGGGTGTTTGACAGGCCAGCACTCACCTTTGTTCCTTTCTCCTGTAATTCCTTCATGTTAGCTTTGACCTCCTCAAGTTCATCTGTAAGCGACTGATTTTTCTGCTCAGCCTTCTCATATTTTTCCTTTAGGTCTGACAGCTCCGTCTTAGTCTCCTCATACTATGTAAAGCAAATTGTAACATTTCATTCAGTGCACTGCAGTCAGTGTAACACTTGCTTAAGTTGCTGATCGGGGTACTCTTGCATGTTATAATATGGCATCTGTGTCTCATATGGTTAGTCCTGTAATAAGGCTTAACAGGCTTACCCAGTCTCTCTCGCTTAGCAGCAAGAATTCTGTATATATTTAGCTAAACAGGGTGGGTGCAGCATGCCCTATATAAAAGGCCACTGCAAGAGTACTCGGATTGCAATTTCATTCAGTGACTGGAAGAGCACCGCCACACTGGGATGAATGGCTTGTGGTTAAGAATGACTTCATCTCTGCTATTCAACACCCCCCGCCCCCAATCTGAGTACTACAACAGCCTGCAGGATGCTTTCAGTTTCACAACTTTGTGTTAAAGTGGGTTTCCCCAGTCACTTTAATCAAGCTATGGATTACACTATTATAGAAGCAGAAAAGGAAGCCATTCCTGTAGAGCTCTTTGAATGCGTTTTGTTGCTGCAGTTCAAATCTCACTTTATAAATGATCTTATTCCAACAAATTAACCTGTGTTCAGGAGTGTAAAATGCATACTGGCTTCAACATTCAGCTGTGGTGGCTTCAAGACTATCCTGGGCTGGGTTAATGCAGTCAGAGGAAAGAATAAAAAAATAAAAAAAAATATTCAGAGTGTGATTGTATTTATCTGTTGCCTCAAAATAGAAAATCAGCTGGCCCAAAATAGCCAGTGATGCATAGTTGGTTCCGCTTTTAGCTTTTTATGTTTTCTCAGGAAAGAGAATGTGGGTGTCATGCTTGAAATGAGTTATGCAGTGACACCATAGCATTAAACCACATCGATTATGCATACTGGATCACCAATATTGTAACAAATAGTCCATGTGTATAGTAGGGATGTACATGGGGCAATGAGAAGGTGGTGGCAAAGTTTCAACCAAACCTTTACTGCAGTCATGGTGTGTTCACATTAACGGAACTTCTACTTGAAGCAACAATTAAACACCAACATACTGAACAGAGCAGGATCTAGTAGTGAATTAAAACCTTTCAAAAAAGCAGACGAACACTCTTTTGTGTGTCATTTTAAAAATCATTTAACTGTACACCAATTACATTTTCTAATTGGGTTTTTAAACCTTAAATCCTAGGGGAGTATATTGTGGTGTTGTTTTCTGCAATTCATTTCTGCATTTAATTACCAGTGGTGGAAAGATGTACTCAGACTTTTTACTTAAGTAAAAGTAGTAATACACCTGTGTAGAAATACTATGTAACAAATAAAAAGTATTGCATTCAAAATTTAACTTAGGTTCAAAGGCACTATCAAGTTAAAGTACCAAAAGTACTCATTATGCCAAATGGACCATCTCACAATAAAGTACAGTATACTGTGTCAGTTATAATTATGGAGGTATTAATGTTTATATAACCAACACTGAAGCAGATAAAGGTGTAGCCAAGTTTAATTTCCTTATAAACTGTGGGGAAGTTTCATGTATAACCTAATAATACACCAAAAAGTGTATTATTTTTATGAATAATTTGAGCAAAATAACTAGAAACTAAATCTTAAGTATTTAGCTGCATCCATAATGTAGTGAAGTAGAAGAGTAAAACTCCATGAAAGTACAAGTACCTCAAAACTACTCAAGTGCAGTACTTGAGTAAATGTACTTAAGCTGCTTTCCACCACTGCAATTTACTGTTGCAGCCTGTCAGAAAGGCATCCAGCATGAAGAGGGTTGCAACAGTAACCGTCAGGTCTGAGATTCAATTAGGGCTAGTCAGCATGGCTCCCACTGCTGAGTCTGAGATGCTTGACAAATAAGGTCCTAGCTCAGGTTCTTTTAGCTTTGAGAGCATACCTCTCTCTGCAGAGCCTTGTTGCTTCTGTCTGCCTCATCCAGTTGGGTGTGCAGTTTGGTGCTATCCTGCCGGTGCTGAAGCTGCAGAGCCGCCAGCCTCTTCTCCAGCTCTTGCTGGCACCTCTCTAGGTTTTTGAGGCTGTTGCTCAGCTCAGCATTTTGGGCACGTGAGCTACCAGAAACAACACGCCAAGTTCAACAGGAGGATGATCACAAACAGATAAGTGTGTGGTATACATTATGGCAAAATCTACTGGAATAGAGTCAAGCAAATGAGACAGAGGGAATGCAAAGGTGTGGGTGAAGCCATGTTTGTGTTAATGCTGCTCACTGACCTGGCAAGGTCCTTCTCCAGCTGCTGCTGTTTCTTCAGCACTGCCTCTTTCTCAGCACGCAGCGCTATACATTCACTCTGCAGGCTGCCCTTCTCTTTCTGGTGAGTCTTGAGAAGTTCCTCCTTCTCAGACTTTAGGGAAGTGCATTCACTCTGCAGAGTATTCCTTTCCTTCTGGTGCTTATTCACAATATCCTGTTTCTCAGATTGCAGGACAGAACATTCCTTCTGAAGGCCATTACACTCCACCTGCATGGACTGCAGCTCACTGGCTGCGAAATAAAGGTTTTATTAAAAGGTGCAGTCTTTGAGCAGAAGCTTTGTTCTTAAATGGCTTACAGGTCAAGTTAAAATCCTCACAAAAAATGGTACTGATTATATTTTTAACACACTCTCTGAACTTGGACAGGTTAATGGACATCAAATATGAAGACAACATGCCTCTTCTTTCTAGAAAAAGAACATCAAGTCATGCAGCCATTTTTAAGCAGAGAACATACAGATTTGACTGGAACTGACTAACAGAGATTTAAGTTTGCAGTTTGAACTGTTGTTGAACAACAAAGTTTTGATTCATTGTCAATGTGGCATCCCCACAATCTAGTCTAAATATTAAAAGATGCTAACAGAACTGCCCAATTTGCAAAGATGTAAAAAGGCTGGTTTCCCTTTCATTGATACGTGAATAAACTAAAAAACACCAACCACAATTAGTGTCGCACACATGCAGTATAGTTTTTACAAGCTATTGTCCTTATATTTAGTATAAATCTATGTGTTTGCACTGTGTAGTACCTTGTATTTCTGCAGTTTTCTGCCACTGCTTGTTTTGCTGCTGAAGGTTGTCAATCTCACGCTCATATTTGTTAGCAGTTTGACGCCACTTGTCTAGATCCTTCGAGGCAGTTGCCAGTTTAATCTGGATATCAGTAACATCACGTTCCCGATCAGCAGTGGCTGACTTCAGGGCACGTTTCAGCGACTTCACCTCGTCACGTGCACTTTGGAGCTCCTCGTGCAAATCGGAGGACACGTCTATTTGCTCTCTAAGAATGCCCATTTCACCTTGAAGCTGCTGCAGCTGGCCTGTCCCAACCAGGAGCAGTGATATTTTTACTTTTATGAGATAGCTGTACAGTTCAGCTTTACTTTCCAATCTACAAGCAAAAATAGATGAGTGGCCTTCAGGCAACACACAAATATACCTTGAAGAAGTTTTATCTGTTTTGCAGATTCATCAGCTTGTTGTTTATTTTCTTTTCTCTCTTCCTCCAGGATACCTAGAAAATATAAGTGCATTTATTTAATTAATTAGATCAGGTGTATACATGTGCACGCAGAGTATAAAGTGGAAAGAATGGTGTATATTTAACATCAGTCATTTTGCTCTTACCTTGTAGCTCCATGCATTTGTATTTCTCAATAGTGGCTAGCTTCTGGGCTTCTCGCAGTTCATCATTCAAGTGCTGAATAACTTTTTCTGAGTCACCAGAGGACCCCATGTTTGACTTGGTCAGGTCATCTGAGAATGAAATACAGAACAAAATGGTTATCCAAGCTAGAAGATGCAGTCTACTAACATTAAAGGATCCAGATTTAAGGGAAGAATAGAGCTTCTTCTCTTCCAGCAAAGTCACAAACATCACAAAGTTTAAAGCATAATGATACACCAGGTAGGAATGATGGTGACTCAGTATTATAAAAATAGAAAGATAACTCAGTTCCACCATATTAACTCTGCTTCAGTCCTAAATTCTTTAACTGGGGCCAACATACTAGATGATTTCCCAAGATATTAAAATGGGCCCATTACATAAACTAATTTCCTTCCCAGAAATAGACTCATTATCTGCTTTTATCCAGGCTTTCATTACAAATTGTCCATTACCCCAGCGACATACAGATCTCTGACATGTCTACATGCTTATTAACAGTAAGTAACTGTAATTCATAAACAAAGGGAATGGATTAGCCCAGAGGTTTTCAACTAGTTCTGACCCATGGCACTAAAAATGAACAAACAATGGAATGGGCACTATTTTAATTCTGAAAGTCACCTTGGCTTTCCTAAATTGTATATATTTGATTATTCACAAACAATAAGAAATAAATGCTAATGTATTTAAAAAAAAAAATTACAAAAATTGTGATCCCTACTGTGAAACTACATTATTTTTAATGCATGGTCAGCGATGACCTGCAATGCCTATGCAGACCACCGGGGGGGCTGCAGACCATTGGGTGGGAATCCCTGGACTAGCTAAAGGGTCTGGTATGTTTCAAAGAGGTTGAAATAAGCTCCACAAATAATTGTGCTTTGCAGATGCCGTGTATATCTTGATCCTCTAATCCACCATGTCTAGGAAAAGAGATGACTTCATCTCAGACCGAGCATTTGGCAGAGGCAAAAACAACAAGTCAGGACAGATCAAGCATGGGCACCATAAATGGACACACCAGAGGACTGCCGTGAAAGGCTTCATTTGTTTTGAAAACAGTGATTTCATTGTATCCAATACACATGGCCACACTGTACAAATACACGCACTCTCTCATGTCAGTAATGCTGCCAGATGGCACTAATAAGTGCCCCTAATTTTTTTTTTTTTATATAGCGCTTTCTCACAGCGTGTTGCACTGGCCAAAGCACTTGACAGAAGATCATACACCATTCACCCATTCACACACAACATTCACACACCGATGACGACAGGCTGCCATGCTGGTCAAGCCACCGGGAGCAATTCGGGGTTCAGTGTCTTGCTCAGGGACACTTAAGCATGCGGGGAGACCGGGAGTCGAACCACCAACTTGCTGGTCAGGAGACGACTGCCCTACCTCATGAGCCACACAAATTAACAGGTATGAAGCAACTGTTGGAGGCTGGTAGCACCCGCTTACTCAAGCACATGACCACCCTGCTGTGTGCTAGACAAAGGATGGATGCTCTGTCCTGCATGTGTATGATGTTGTGTATTATAGCTATTATGTTTTCATGTCAGAGAATGACACTTGGCAGTAAAAACGAGATTAGTCTGTGTGTAAAAATACCTCTCTGACTACTTGGGAATATTGAGCATCACACTGCCTAAAGTGATGACAGAAAAAAAATGTAGGAGGAGGGGTTTTTTTTTTTAGCTCAAGTGCTGAAGGCCAGAGCCATCAAGATCCATCTTTCCCACTGTGGGTTTCATTCCTACTGAATGTGACAGCATTCTTCAGATGAATCACAGGGATAACACTGAACCTCTACAGAATTCAGCAAATCTCTATAAAACAGCAGTTCAAAGTACCAGGAGGTGGTATTAATTTACAGACTCAAACTGTGCTCTATGTGACTGAAACTAAGAAATACCCATAACATTCCAAAATGATTGAGCCACTGTTGCGAGGACACAGTTTGCTTTGTGTTGCCTGTAAACTGTGGAGTTTAGCATTACAAATTCACCCATCATGCAACATTTATTCACCCACTAATATGCTTGGCATTTTGTCATGAATGTCCCTGTATTGCACAGCCATTGCATTACCTTGCATTCTATTTTAATCATTTAGTCATCTTATATGTCAAGGCTAACACTAGTCAGCTGATGTGCCCTCTGTGCTAAGAGACTCCATCTTCTAATAAGCTGTTGGCACTAGAGACATCGGCCTCTGCAACAAGGCCATTTACAGTACTGCCAGCTACAAAGGCAACAAACTGTCCTTGAAGATTCAGCCACTCATTTTAACTGTGACTCATGCCGCCCCCCCCCAGCTGGGTTACCATTAATCAGTGACACGTTACTCAGGGGATCGGCAGGTTCTTTCTCGTCCATTTGCTTATCTGAAAGAAAAAAAAGTAAACCTACATATATCATGTATACATATGCCAAAAGTTAATATTGCTAGAGAAAACTCATTTTAAGTAAATAGGTTAACATCAATTATTAATAGTACCGATGAGGACTCAAGTATGTTTTTAAAAGGTAAACAAAAATACATGCTCATCTGTGAACAAAAGTACTTTTAAACAAAGCACAGCTAATACTGTAACTGCTGAGAATTCTCCTCTGAAGACTCGATCGCAGACAACGTCCTACTAGAGTTTAAGAAAAAAAAACTTGGCAGGAAATATTACCTTGTGTGGTGCAGGAGCTACGGTCTTCTACAAGCTGAGGTTTACAGCAGTGACATGAAGAACTCTTCTCCAACCACCAGATTTTTTTCAGATGTGAAATGGAGCAGTCCAAGTAGAGAGGGAGGGGGACACTAAGGGGATGACAGATACTACAGATTAGCCTCCACTGCTATTGTTGGACTGAAGCTAGTGATGAGAAAAAAAAACTGCTGAAGTAAGTGGACAAATAATTTTGTGTGGTTAAAAAAAAAAAAGCTACTCTAAAAGGTAAGTCTAATGAATGTCCCCCAAAAACAACCCCCTGTGCTTTGTAGCTCCCTAGCCCCTCTACGCTAGGTCATCCCAGTAGGGCATCAGCAGCTGCATACTGACACAGAGAGTGTTTGTTCAGGGAGCTGCACTGTTCTCTGGCCACTTGGTATTGATGTACAAATCTATGCAAACAGAACGGGGACTGCTCAAGTGAGTGTACTGCACCCAGCTGTTTTGTTTTGCCCTCTAAGCTGCTCATTTTCTCAAATTGTGGCCTTTAGGGCTACATCTACATGTCATCCATCACAGCATTCTTGTGTTGGATTTGACCAGTCTAATAACAGGCATATTTTAAAAGCATGCAATATTTAAGTACCACTTTCTAAATGTAAAAAAAAAAGTGGGCCTCTGCTTAAAAGCTTTTACTAATTAATTGTCTCGCATCAAAATCTCTGAGTAATGATAGAAGTCCACAGGCGTGCAGGTTGTGATGCAGGTTTATAAAGGAGAAGGCATGAGTTTAATTTCAGACTTTTCAATTTAATTTCATCATACATCGAGCTGCAAAAGCTGATGTAGCAGGACTAATTTTCTCACATCAGTTCAGCTTCATATTTAAGGCTGTGTAGTTCCATACCACTGATTGTGATATTGTATATTACTGTAAAAACTGATGTTACAAGCTTAGTAGTAAGCTCTAGTGTCAACTTTTTCCAGATCAACACATACAGTACTTCACATTAATAAAGTGCTTGATCAGCAGTGCTTGATAGTAGCATATAAACTCTCCATAACACTGACAACTTGTAAGTTTAGAGCAGAAACTAAGATGCTGCCCCTAAATTTCACTCTGCACAGTATTAAAGCTGGGTTGAGATGGGGACTGTGAAGGCCACGGCACATGATTCAAATAATTTTCATACTCAAACCATTCCATGTCCCCTCATGCTCTATGGATGAGGGCACTGTCATCATGCCCCTTCATTTGTCACCCATCTGTATCTACAAGCAGCAATACTTTTAAAGTTTAAATAAAAAAAAAAAAAGCGCTACCAATGTGGCGATGGCCAGACTTGGGCTTCAAAACCATTCTTCAGAAAACCAGTGGGTGAGGTCATGGTGGGTTTGGCCAGCGTTTATATACAGTCAGTGGTTTGGATTTTGCAGTGGCCAGATTTGAGCCTGAGACTTTCAACCTAGTTGAGCAAGCTAGTAGTAATAAGGTAAAGGCTTAAGATACAAGTTGCCAATCACTGACATTTTCAGTCAGTAATTACCTATTCAGAGCCTGGACTTAGCTTTTCAGAAAATGTTTGTATCTTGGCATCCTATGGGGATCCATGGCAGTGTGTCGGATTCATGTACTGTATGTTTTGGTAGCCCATAGAATCAACACAGTGTGTGATCAAATACTGATCAAGCGACTGTTGTTTCTGGTCACGTGCTTCACTTTCCACTGTGTGCCACATTCCTGTGTTTTAATCTGGAAGCGTCATCACATTTAGTAGCATCCTGGACTCACAGTGCCCTGAAATGTTTGTCTCATTTCACTTCAGATCAACAAAACGGCCTCTGTCATCTGTCCAGGTTTGGCCAAAATTTGTCAATAATTAAAAGCTGGCAAATAATTGTATATTTATGTAATCTAGGGGAGAAAAATTATATTTAATATTCAGTATTGTTTGTAATGGAAATGAGTTTACCCACATCTTAGTAAATCACACATTTTACAGGTTGCCTGTTCCCCTGACCTGGTTGACAACTTCAGTGACTTTTGTCTTAAGTATTTTTAACTCCGGTGGCATAGGCTCTTCCACAGTTACAATAAACTAACCCAAGACAAACATGGTTACATATCATCTTATCTTCAGTTGCAAATATGATTTTTATCAGTGCTACATTGTGTTTATCAAACAATATACCCAAACATTGTTGGATATAACAGCTAACTGATGTTAACGCCACTTGTTTTTATTGTTACCTGCTTGTGCTTTAAAGTTACAGTATTCGATGTGGATAAACTAATCTTTACAGCAAGAAAAACAAAGTATTTCAACTGTGACAACTTACCACCTCCCAACTCCAACATATTAGGATATGCTACCCAACTAGTCTCAGCTGATGGTGTTAATTGAAAATGAGAGGTGTAGCTACTTTTTGGCTGCTTTTGGCCCTTTTCCACTCTGACCCCTCCACCTATGCTCCTCCCTCCTCCCCCTTTCGCGGCTGTGAAAGACACTTTTCATTAAGGGGTGGTTAGATCCCAAGATTCACGAGTGCGGTCTGAGTCTGTTGGTAGCCTAAATTCCAAGTCTTAAGCCGAGCACTGTGCGTTGGCCTGTTAACTCACACTAAACCAGGCACGATGCGAGCGCCCACACTGGACGTTAAAGAGTCCCAGTAGGCTAAAGAGGCCCGCATCCTCAGTGTTGACACCAGCTGAAGAACAGCGTCAGGCCAGTAGCTTATTCTCCCATTGCGCACTGATGGCACATCTGCTCAAAGAACTCAATTAACCCGGTCTATTTTTAATTCTGTACCTGGTTACATGCTCATTTTTAATTAATACTAACAGTAAATAAAACAACTGCAGCTCCTGAAATCCAATTCTAACAATTATTATTTTGCTTTATAAGGATAAAGTTTAGTATGACTGTTTGTGTTTTATTAACAGCACCACGTATCAGTATTAACCTGACTCTTATACATGCATAATAGTTATAATTTTCAGCTGCAGGTCAACTTGTAGTATTTCTTATTTTCTTGGATAATTGTGCAAGAGTAGATTGCATAGATAAGTGTCTTGGAAACTAAAGATAAGATATTAATTTATGCTATTTTACAGACGTGAAGTCTGACAGCTTGAACTTTTCACTCATGTCTGAACTATGAGTAAGGGTTTTTTTTACAACAGAATCAGGGAAGTAAGTGACACAGCTAACTGCATGTCCATCTTCAGTTAGAGAGAAACGCCTGAAAATAGAAGATAACAACATACACACACACATACTGCCTATATGAAATTCCTGTTTCCTAAGTGTAACTGCAACTCCTGAAATCCAATTCTAACACTATAGTCAATAAATAATAGCCTACGGCCTACAAGGCCACTGAATGCAATATCTCACGTGTGGCATGTTGTGTTGCACAATGGCAGTGAAAGTTCCACGGTGGAACGAAAAAGTAGTGCATATGGCACTACTTTTTAACAATCCTACAATACAACGCACTGCACTTGAGTGACTAATTAACATTTGTTTATTATAAAACATCCATGGGAATTACAGTTGCGCAGCTCTACGGCTGTTAAAGATGAAACAAAATGAGGATGATTAAACTTTCGTGCTCACTACTGAGTGCACAATAACTGAATGGAGCGTAGTGAAAGAATGAAACGAGCGGTTTCCATCACTTCCTTTACCCCGCTTCCTCATCTTCTTCTGCAAATACCGTGAAATGCGCGTGTCGCCACCTACGGTGCATGGAGTGCGCAGCACTCAGTTTTAATGCTGGGCACTGGATGGCTTTGACTCCTCAAACACTGCAGAAAGTGCAGCCTGTAAAGACAGGCTACTGTCTAAGGAACAATAATACTGTATGTTCAAAATAGCAATATTCATCTTTCCAGCGGACGATTCATCATAGGTTGCCTAATCCCCGCGGTGGGTGTTGCCTTAAGCTTACGTGTCAGGCAAGAAGCTAGACGTCCGCAATCATAACAGTTATCTAAGGCGATGCTAAACGTGAAGTTAGAGACAGGAGGTGCGTCTTTTCCAGGGGTTTAAGTTCGTTAACCCAAGTCATAGATGTCATTAGACCTCAAATAAAATTCTCCGGTTTGCGTGTAGGTGCACTTTTTTGAAAGCCATTTTCCGCTTCCTGATGACTTTCTCTATCTCGGCCTGGTTTTGGAGCGAGAGATTCTGGCTCCCAGAAAATGTTTCGTGGTCGGACCTGGAGAATCCACCTCCTGGTGTGAAGTATCCCCAAGCGGGACAAACGCTGTACGCGATTCCCCTGGCTGTCGGTGTTTTTCTACTGAGGCTGCTTTTTGAAAGGTAATTCGGTCCCTTGTTTGGTAATCGTGGTCTGTGTGCCTCCTCTATAGGCTCATCTTCTACTACAATCCTGAACTGTCAAAGGTAGTTATAGGTAAATCTCTCTAGACTTTGATTCCATTTAATTTCTCGGTTGTGGAAATGGCCCCCAACTTTCTGAACGGTGTTCTATTTAAAGTAAGATCTTCAAGCCAAACCCCAGTCTCTATCTGTTCATTCAGACCTTTTCATGATGGGGTGACTATTCCAACTAAGTGGAGTGCTGTTGGATTGAGATGTAACAACAGGCTCAGTTTGAACTTTAACTGATGAACTCAGTCACAAGATCTTGTGACGAGCACCATTATTTTGGTAAGAGCACCATTATTTTGGTAAGAGGTAAGAGGCAGCCCTCTCATCTCCTTTATACTCCCACATGAGAGGTCATCAGGCTTTGTTTAGACTGGGTGTTACATTCCCTTGGCTTCCTTCTTTCTAGCGCCTGCCTGTTTCTACCCTCCAGTCTCTATTTATGGTCTCGGACCCTCCCCCGAAGCACACACACGCACTTCCAACATAACTTTATGGGTAAAGTGCAAACGCTCCACAGTCCATGTCAGTTAAAAAAATCCACTGGTAATTATTGACTAACCATCCACTTATTTCAGCAGCCTGTACAAAGTATTAAACTCCTACCTCTGACTCGCTCCTTGTTTGAATGTTTCTTTTCATTCCACATCATCTGTGCCAACTCCTTCATTTTTTGCCTCTGTCTGTGTGTGTCTAGGCTAGTGGCCAAGCCCTGTGCCCACATACTTCATATTCAGACGGGAGTTTCTTGCAGAACCCAGCCCAGTACTGTCCTGGAGGGGTTTTATCAGTCTAAAACGGTACACCATGTCCATGTTTGATCTGTAATAAATGTTCCTTTAGACACTGGAACACATGCAATTGCGTTTAAATGCACCACCACAAGCATAATAATATGTTCAGTAAATACCTGTTGTAGTGTGACAGCCATACTCGACTTACTGGTATTGTGGTTTTGCAAATAGAGACATTAGAAAGCAAGGCATTTATAATTGCCATGCCTGTATTGTCCTCCTTAGTGTCCAGACAAGAGGCAAATAGAGGGACTCTCCAAGCAGCTGGACTGGGATGCACGGAAAATACAGAGATGGTTTCACATTCGTCGAAACCAAGACAGGCCCAGTTTGCAGACAAAGTTCTGTGAGAGCATGTAGGTTCCTGTAAAGCTTCTTACTCAACTGTGGTGCAAGGTGAACCCAGTTCATATTGAATCACTCCATCTTTCTAATTCTACCCCTTTCTTTCCTTTCAGGTGGCGATTTACATTTTACCTGGCAATTCTTATCTATGCCATTCACTATTTGTGGGTGGTGAGTTGAAATGTGCTTTTGTACTAATCAATAATCAGTTACATTAGGTAGGGATCTCTTAATTGACTGTATGAGGAGGACTTATTACTGTTTTGGTATTCATATAGGGCACCTGATTATTGATTATGTCTCTCTCTCTCTCTCTCACTCTATATATATGTATACACACACACATTTATATACATTTATCTGTTTTCCTCTTTTCCTCAGTCACCTTGGATGTGGGATACCAGACAGTGCTGGCACAACTATCCTTTCCAGGTTAACTGAACAATCATCATATTCAGCTGCCTTTATTATGCCTCTGATCAGTTCAGCACCATAATGCTGACAGGACAGTATTGCAGCATGTTTGTTAAAGATCTTTTTGTCTCACTCTGTTCCAAAGCCTATGAGTCCTGAACAGTACAACCACTATGCAGCTGAGCTGGCTTTCTACTGGTCTCTGATGTTTTCCCAGTTCACAGACATTAAACGCAAGGTGAGTCAACAGCAGCTTAATTTCCACTATTGTGCTGTCTGTCAGTTGCTCCAGCTATTGACTTAACACCCTATGTATCAGTGTGTGTTCACTTCTTGGCCTATCCCCATTTTGTGAGTTCTTTGTGTTTACTGTTACATCATTTACATAAAAAAGAGCGTTATTTGTTGTTCTGGCAAAGCAAGTCAGGTTTGCCATCCTGGTGTGTACACAGTTTTCAGATTCTTTTGAATCACAGTCTACGTGTATTAACAATGTAAGCAAAGACCGACAAGTGAGGATTACTCTACAACCCTCATCCTCATCTTAAACCTTTTTTTTAAGTGCGTTTTTAAGTGCATGTGTATTTACAGTGATCTCTGTCAGTCATCTCTCTTTATTTTACTGATGACAGGATTTCAACATCATGTTTATCCACCACATGGCCAGCATAACCCTAATCACATTCTCCTATGCCAACAATATGCTAAGAGCTGGCTCTTTGGTTATGCTTGTGCATGATACATCCGACATCTTCCTTGAGGTAAAGAACTCAACATTCTTGTACGACATCAATCAGACTGAACATGTCTTATTGACATTACAGTGACAAAATATCAGTACTGTAAATTACAACAGAGATATTGGTTTGTTTTTTCTTCAATCACTGTGGATCATTAACACCTTGTTTATTCCCCAAGGCAGCTAAGATGGCCAACTATGCCAAGTACCAGAGATTATGTGATGGCATGTTTGTGGTCTTTAGCATAATTTTCTTCCTCACTCGACTTGTCATCTATCCATTCTGGTGAGACAAACAAGAATTTATTTACATATCACATTATATACTTTTGTCAGTTGGTCACGTTTTAACAATTAGGAGCCAGATTTACACAAAAAAGTTGTAGTAATAATAATAACCTCTGTATTTGTGTGTATTTGTTGTAGGATTATTTACAGTGTACTGTTTGAGAGCTGGGAGATCATTGGGCCATACCGGGTCTGGTGGGTGCTCAATGGGTTGCTACTGGTCCTGCAGATTCTTCACATCATGTGGTTCTACCTCATCACTCACATTGCTGTTAAAGCTATATTCAAGGGAAAGGTTAGTGTGGCAGTCTGTTGTGTGTAGTATGTTTTTTGACTCTAGGGATGGCAGTGTCTTTCAGTGAGTCCACTATAAAATATCAACAAATAATTTTGGACCAACAATCAAGGTCCCTGCAGGATGAATCCCATTGACTTGTGCAATCTACTGATGTTTTCTCTAGTGTCAACATGAAGTTGACATGTCTGCTTTCTTTAGGAAAATGTCCAACAACCATTAGAAAGATTGCCATGAAAGACATTCATGGCCCATATGGGGTGAATCCTAAATCCCTTATTTCTTTACTCCTCACTTGACCTGGAAGTCTATCCGAGCTGCCATCTTGAAGGACATCTCAAAGCTCTTGTTCCTGCTCTGAGGGAGACATGAATGAGAGCATCCTTTACAAAAGCCTTGTATGGAGCAACCTGCCCCTTTATTGGAAACCAGTTGGTGACTGGAGACTTCAGCTGAAGGATCAATGGAAAGGATGTCTCATCAAGACTGGATTAATTTTCTGCCAAACAACTAACCAATTAATCATTGCAATTATAATCACTTTGTTGATCCCCTGACCTTTCATATGGAACAGTCATTATGTGAGTTTGTCTAATGCGTTGGTTCATGTGTTTCTAATATCATCCTCATCAACTACACTTTATCTTTAGTGCTAATGTTACCATTGTCACTGTGAACATGCTAGCCATGCTGAGTATATAACCAGGTACATTAGTACCTGCATCGACAACATTGTGCCCACCATACAAGTCAGGAGGTTTCCCAACCAGAAGCCCTGGATAAACAGTCAGGTACACCACATGCTGCGTGCTCGCTCTCATGCATTCAGATCAGGCGATGAGATGGAGTACAAAGCTGCGAAGTACAGACTGAGGAAAGCCATCACAGCGGCCAAAAGGCAGTACAGAGAGAAGCTGAATGGTTTGTATTCTACTGCTGACTCCGGACGGATGTGGCAAGGCCTGTAGCACATCACAGACTACAGGACCACCACCAGCATCATCAGCTTCTTCAGCACCTTCTACACCCGCTTTGAGACCTCCAGCCACAGCACAGAGAGGAGGCACACACACACCGAGACCACC